GGATTCCTTCATTACAGCCACCAGATCCCCCCCCCCCTTTGCCTTCTACTGCCCCCCCCTCCCCCCATTATAAAATTCCTGGATCGGCCACTGAATTTTACTCATGTATAACAAGTATATAGGATAACAGTTAAGGGAAATTAAACCACATATCAAAATTAAACTTATTTTATTACATGTATTCCTTCAATTTCTTTTCTTTAAAAATTTTAGCCTCGTGAAATAGTCCTAGCCTTGAGGAACTGGAATCTTGCTAAAGGTTTCATTCACGAGACCAGTCTCCGCATCACACAAAGGACTTTGGTACCAATGAGGTAAGGATCAGCTCCTTGCTATAATGATGCTCTAATCACTGCACCACGAGGATGAACAAACATGATTGTTTTGATCGTCAATATATATACAGGATCAATCTCATATTGACCGTAACTGTATGACCCATGGAATAGGTATGAATTACCTGAAAATTGTGACAATTATCTGGTGCTAAATGGTGGATACAATTTGTAGATATTTCATAACCTCGTAGAACTGTATCATTCCGCCATGTGACAGAGATCCACATGTCTTGATACCATAGTCAATTGCCATGATCTATGACCTCTGGTCAATGTATTTATCCAATCAAATGTATTACACAACGACCAGAGAAAATAAAATTGAGTTTTTCTCTTTTATATTCTTGATTGTAATGAAATTATTTTATGATATGCTGAGGTTTTTTTTTCGCTATAGGAGCATGGCTATATTTTAAAGATTATTTACCATATACTACGTAGATAAAGGTTCATCTAAAGAAAACAGCTGTACTGGACACTTAATTAAGATATAGATTCTGATATGACATATAAGAGCAAATAGCTCTATTGGTATACATACGATTAAACTAACGCCTCCTTTTAAGTATTGCAATTTTCAAACATCTGTTGTAGACAAACGTGACAAATACTGTGAACATTATTTTATTTTCAAAAAAATATCATGTGTCATATGAATAAATAACGACTGAAAATTTTGCACACTCAAATTTACTCATCCTAGGCCCCTCAATCCACAAACTGTTGAAAGGACTTACAAATTTTATACAAGATACTCAGTATAATTTCTATTTCAAGGAATCTAGCTGTGACTACCTTATGTAAGATTAATTGATATTTTAGCTGTGGGCAATACACTTTTAAATAAAACATATGGTATATAATAAATTGATGGGGAAAAAATATGAAATTTTTCCATGATAATTAGGTTAATGGGTTTTAATTATTTAGCTCATGAATTTTGACATACATAAAAAAGCACTTTCCACATTATGTCAAATCTTTAAGCTAGTAGTAAAATATGCAATACATATTGACTTTTTTACTTAAACTAATGAACTATTTGAAAAGTTCTGTGCATCAAACAATTGCATTCTGTGGTACGTCTTACTGAATAACACTACATTCTTTCTATATATGGTACAAATTCTCCCACTTCAGGGCTATCGTTAACACAGATTAAAATCCATTAGCTTTGTGAGTTCATCAATTATGCACTATGCAAACTGTACCTGGCCTAAAAAGCATTTTGATCATTTTAGACAGGGAAGGTTAAGATTACGTAAATGGGAATGGACTGAATGATCTTGATCTGTTGCTGGGTTCAAACCTACAACCTCAATACAGTTGACTGTAACCAATACAAGCAAATCAATATAAATAGCACTCCAAAATTTATTGAATTACAAGCAAAAGATAGCGAAATTTCAATTTTTCCTCTTCATCATTCTCATTTCATTTCCACCCCTTTCTTTTTAGCCACAAGCCATCAAGGTAGCTCAATCTGTACAGCACTTGATCATGCAATGATTAAGGTAGCTCATTCTGCAGAGCCCTCCCTCAATGATTAAGGTAGCTCATTCTCTAGAGCCCTCCCTCAATGATTAAGGTAGCTCAGTCTGAAGAGCACTCACTCAACAGTTAAGATAGCTCAATCTGTAAAGCAATTGCTCAGTGATTAAGGTAGCACAGTCTGAAGAGCACTCGCTCAATGATAAAGGCAGCTCAGTCTGTAAAGCACTCACTCAGTGATTATGGTAGCTCAGTCTGTTGAGCACTCATCAATAATTAAGGTAGCTCAATCTATAAAGCACTCACTCAGTGATTAAGGTAGCTCAGTCTGTAAAGCACTCGCTCAATCATTAAGGTAGCTCAGTCTGTAGAGCAATTGCTCAGTGATTAAGGTAGCTCAGTTCATAGAGTGCTCGCTCAGTGATTAAGGTAGCTCAGTCTGTAGAGCACCTGCTCAGTGATTAAGGTACTCAGTCTGTAGAGTGCTCCCTCAATGATTAAGGTAGCTCAGTCTGTAGAGCGCTCCCTCAATGATAAAGGTAGCTCAGTCTGTAGAGTGCTTTTTCAATGATTAAGGTAGCTCAGTCTGTAGAGCAACTGCTCAGTGATTAAGGTACTCAGTCTGTAGAGTGCTCCCTCAATGATTAAGGTAGCTCAGTCTGTAGAGTGCTCCCTCAATGATTAAGGTAGCTCAGTCTGTAGAGCGCTCCCTCAATGATTAAGGTAGCTCAATCTGTAGAGTGCTTCTTCAATGATTAAGGTAGCTCAGTCTGTAGAGCACCTGCTCAGTGATTAAGGTACTCAGTCTCTAGGGTGCTCCCTCAATGATTAAGGTTAAGCTCAGTCTGTAGAGCGCTCCCTCAATGATAAAGGTAGCTCAGTCTGTAGAGTGCTTTTTCAATGATTAAGGTAGCTCAGTCTGTAGAGCAACTGCTCAGTGATTAAGGTACTCAGTCTGTAGAGTGCTCCCTCAATGATTAAGGTAGCTCAGTCTGTAGAGCGCTCCCTCAATGATTAAGGTAGCTCAGTCTGTAGAGCGCTCCCTCAATGATTAAGGTAGCTCAATCTGTAGAGTGCTTCTTCAATGATTAAGGTAGCTCAGTCTGTAGAGCACCTGCTCAGTGATTAAGGTACTCAGTCTGTAGAGTGCTCCCTCAATGATTAAGGTAGCTCAGTCTGTAGAGCACCTGCTCAGTGATTAAGGTACTCAGTTTGTAGAGTGCTCCCTTAATGATTGAGGTAGCTCAGTTTGTAGAGCACTTGCTCAGTGATTAAGGTAGCTCAGTCTGTAGAGTGCTCTCTCATTGACTGGAAGGTCTTGAGTTCAAATCCGTGACTGACCTAAGTCAATTAAATAGGTACTAGCTGTTTCAGTTTGATGAGCAATCAGCACTTTGAAGTGTCAAAGTTGTGGGTTTTTTAGATGAAACCATAGAAACCATTAGGCCCTGTGTTACAATAGGTGTTGACACAATAAGGAACGCTTACTGCTCAGTGGCCCTGAGTGCCGAGTATGTCTAAAAATAAAGTGCCTTCACCTGAATTATAATATGAGTAAAAAATTCTCGAACAGGAGGTAAAACAAAATATATCAGAGTCCTACACACAAGTGGGCAAATTTGTAATGGGGGTGAATTTAAAGAAAACTGTATATTTTCTTAAAACTTGCAGTGACCGAGTGAATGGAGCAGAAGTTGCAATTGTGAAAAGGCGAAAATAGCAGTTGTCAATAAAAGCTAGTACAGTCCAAATCTCATTATCTTGAACTCAATGGGATCGAGGAAAGACTTCAAGATATCTGATGATTCAAGATATTGAGGGTAAAATACTTAAAGAACTAGTGGATAGGACTTCCAAATCACTTCCATGGTATTCGAGATATCGATGTTTGAGATACCGAAGTTCAACTGCATGTCCTTATAATTTTTCTCATAGTTTCCCTTTTCAAGTGCTTTAAATAGTTAATGGATATTATGCACATAATCTTTATCATTGCTTTACATTACCGACACAAAAAATCCATACAGCTGTATCGTACTATTGAATTGAAATAATTACCATCATTCTTCTGATATTTTTCAGTTAAAATTTCACCTGATCAATACATATAAACTAAAAATAAAATGATTATCTGTTGGGGTCTATTCGACATATATATGTGTCAGGAAAAATAGGTTAATGTGCAAGGAATTTAATCAATTGATACTCCTCCTCATCTGGCTATTTTCAACTACTGACCAATATTTCCTCAATAATTAATTTTCATACTCATGAAAAACCTAAATCTCTTAATTCACAAGTTTTATGACATTAATACTAAAAGGTAAATTAAATCCATGAGTTGCACAGCAATCGAGTATTATAATCAAAATATGGCATTGATTGATCAGTAAAGAGTGCCTGTAAAAGGCTCTGATATAATTGTATACTGACAGTTTATTCACTATAAACCAAGATGATATCATATTGGTTTTCATATACCTGGCATATTTTCATCAGCTCTTAACCCTGAGGTGTGAATTAATCAAGTCTGTATTCTAATAACCGAGTAACTGTTGAATTAATCTGTCCGCAGAATATGAACTTTTGGCAGAATTGAAGTTGATCTAGGAAAAACAACCTGTAACATTTTTGTCTATGCATGTGGAAAAACTATAAACAGCCTCTTACTTCCACTTGACTCTCTGTTACCAAATGCAGCTATTGATTTGAGCAAAATGTTTATTTTTCAAGGGATCTGTTAGCAAAAAATTTCTATCATCATTCTTAATTGATCTCTTCATGGAATTGATAAACATATATGACAAGAGAAAGGAATAATTTTGACAGAAAGTTTGTCACCTTGTGATTTTTTAGTGAATTCAACTGATACTAGTATTTTAAATCTAATCCTAGGATTTTTCATTTTTAATAATTCCATCCAAGAAGACATGATGCTATATAATGCCCTATAGCTATAATTAAACAGAAATCTGAGAAGAAAAAGAACTCTAGTACGTTGTATCCTGGTGTTAAATTTAGATACAAATAATCAAATAAAAAATAACACCCAATACCCCCGCTGAAAGTTATCAAACCACATGGATGGAGCGTGGACCGAAAAACATCTCGTCTCTGATCTAAAACCCACAATGCTAAACTTTGGTTAAATTGAAAAAAAATTTCCGGCAATTGACTGAAGCAGAACCCTAAGCCTTGTGGGATGAAAGGAAGCACAAGATAAGAGGCTTTTTTATCACCAGCAAAGGAAGAAGGAACAGCACTACTGAATGTTTGATCAAGTGAGAATTCAGACAAAACCCTGCTGATCTGTTTTTGCCATGAAGTATAGATGTCATTCCCATGTATATAACCCGTAATGATCTAATACGCCATGAATAGCTGAGGAGTAGTACCTGAAAAACATTTAATCAATGGACTTGGAAGACATCTGCAGTGTTATAGTATTGAACTCAGATGACTCAATTCAGTCACTAAGTTAGCATCCTTAACACTGCCTCCACAGTTAAGCTTTCTTTGAGCCTCAGCATTATCAATAAAAGTTTACTCCAAGGAAGTTATAGTCAACTGAAATCTTTATGCCAGCTGCAGCTGAGAAGAATTGGATTTGATGTGATTATCATGTAACGGAAGGAACGGAATATCCATGTTACAATTTCCCGACCTAATCTATGTTGATCAAACAGAGGTCCATGTGGATGCAAGGCCTTACATCAGAATGAATGATTCCAACCATGGGTACAACATAGGCAATCTGACCAATTTTTCCTCCGTGAATTTCACCCCTTCCAGTGGACCGGAACCATTACCTCCAAAGTGGGGGGTTTTGGCCATCATTCTGATAGTGTTCTGTACAGCCATTGGGAATCTCCTCGTCTGTATCGCGGTGATTTGGGACAGACGGCTACAGAACATGACCAATTACTTTTTGATGTCGCTCGCCATTGCTGATTTCTTGGTCTCTATTTTAGTGATGCCATTTGGGATGTTAGTGGAACTCTTTGGTATGCTACTTTTTTTTAATATTTATTTCCAATTCATGACTTATGATAATTTTAATTTTCTATTTTTTTTTTTATCTATTTATTTATTATTTTGTATTATAATGAGCATAATCTAAGCTTTACTTTATTGAACTAGGGAAATTCTTGTTTAAATCATTGAAAGATTTCAAATACCCGGTACATGTATATTAGATTAAATAAAGAATCAATAAATCAAAATACTAATTAATTTTTTAAAACACCACACAAATACACACACAGCTTGAAAGTATAATCTTGCATATTTGCAAAAAATTTTCTGGAGCCAATTGTTAAAAATCATTTTAATGTATTTAATTTTGCATTAATTATTAGAATTAACTCTTTGGTATGCTACTTTTTGAATATTAATTTTTAATTTCTGATTCATGGCAAAAATTATTCAAATTTAATTTTAAAGATATTGAAAATAATTTTCTTTTACACAGAAGTAAATATCATTCCAACCCACTTTTTTTTAGGGAGGGGGGATGGTGAAGGGGTGATGAATTTGATCCTTTTCCTCTTATGGGTATAAAATTTCAAAAGTTTAAATGTTCATAAGCTTTAAAATGTCATTCAATTTTGTGCTGGAAATATCCTCTTACACTAACATATTTATCCACTTTACAAATTAACCCTTTTGCCTTTGGATATTGGCATTATTTTTCTCTGCAGTCAACGATTTTCATATCCAGTAACATGCATTAAACCTAATGGAAACTCTTACAAAACTGTCAAAAGTTTTGGATGACATTTTACTTCTTGCCATGCAATTTTTTTTTTTTACAAAACGGTACTATTTCTATATGTCAAGTCTATAAATATTAAACATTCATCATGTAAAAAAGGGAAACCAATCCAATCAAATTTGTCACTTTAACTTTCACAAATATCACATCAATTTTCTGACTCTATTTCCATTACTTTTAATACTCTGTCAGTATTCTTTAAATGTCTCTAGTTTCTTTTTAGCCACATAAAATGTACCTTACCTATTGAGAATTTTGCAGGATATTCTTGATTTAAGATTTAGTGTCATCAGATGATTGTAAACAAAAAATCAGCAATGCATTACCTGGGGTTTTGAAAAGATATCAATTAATTGATGAAAATTCTTTGATGATTCAAAGAAAAATATATCAAAATTACTACTAAGCATATATTCTTGATGTCTTTGTGACAAGGAATTAAAACTCTTAAAGTTGATTTAGCAAATAGTGAATTACATTTTGTAAAACTGCATTCAAATTGATTGATTTACATGCAAGTCCCCAACTTTTATTTAAGGGGGTTTGTGCAATTTCTATTCTCTAAAATGCAGCCATTTTATACATCCCACAAGAAAACAATTCATTAGGATTATCTCCCATATAAATAATAGTTCTGATGTTGGACAGAATAGCTCACTTTAACTCAATAAATGAAAACAATGCTTTGAACTCCTGGGGCTCACAACTAAAGCCAAATGTCATGTTACAGGGAATTTAAGGATGACATGTAAAAAACAAACCAGGCTAGTTATTCCCCTTAAGAATAGTAGTATTCAAATCTCAAGTCTTCAGTAGGGGGGAAAAAGCACATAATGACGTTAAAACATGATAACAAAACATTTCTTAGGCTTGTGAACTGAAGATAAATGGCATCTTTTTATTTTTTCTCAAAACAAGGTGAGCCATCTTCATTTGTCTTGGAGTTAACGATATCACTCTTCATGAAGACAGACATCACTTTTTGGGGTGTCTAGACAAAATCTTTTTAAAGTGACTTTTTAAAACAGATAACGGTAAAAAAAAGATATCATGCTCTTGACGAATTTGTTGCACCTAAGAACGTTTCTCTTTCCTGAATGAAAATGAAATTTTACCAATATTAAAATGATTAATATCCATTTCTTGTTACCTGAATTTAAAAAAATCCTGAAAAACATGCAAAAGGCACAGCCTTAAAAGAGAGGAAAATCAAATGACAGAGAGAAAAAAAAACATTTAAAAAAACAAACACCTTTCATTAGCAAATCAAAGTCTGAAAAATATATATATATTATTACGCCTGAACACTGATTTTTGAGAAGGAATCTTAAATCTGTCCACAAAACATATAAGTGATCGACTTACAATCAACAATTATAGGTGTATCAACAAAAACATTTCCAAAAGCATAAACTGTAACTCATCAAGAGATAAAGCTGTATAATTTGGCCTTCGCTCCATCATCTTTGATTACTTTCACAATTATCAACTCCTACACTGAAAAGAAATAAATGTTTTTGACCTGTCAACTTAATATTATCAATATAGTCCTACTGTTCTTAGATAATATTAATATATGTCATTACAAGAAGTTGTAGGTGACTAGCATTTACTTTATTTTTCCCCGATATACATTACAATTATCTGTAAATTAGCCATGGTTAATTCATCTGTAATATCTCCTGAAGAAGCAAATTTATTAAAAAACAAAATCACCAGAATTTGACCTTTAAAGGTTAAAATTAATTGCGTAACTGCAGTTTATGAAGGTACTGCTTTTTAAAATTACATCTTTGATTTTCTTTCCCCATTACGAATCTTCCAGCAGGAAATAAATTAATCCAAGTAAAATATCTCAATAAACAGATTCCCAATAAAAACTCTGTTTGCAGGCTCTAGACATGGCATATACTTTAATTATACAGTTCTGATTTCATGGAACTTTTCTGCAAACTGCCCATTGCAGATGTCAAATAGAAAAAAAAAGATTACATATATCATATACATTTTGTAATCTCTACAATTTTGTTGATCAAAAAATAAGATATTTAATTAGAGTATTTTTCTATGAACTTCAGGATTGCAAACATTGATATTTCAAATACCAAATGTTCAAATCCGAAGCACTTTTTATAAACCCTCAATATCTCAAACTTCAAATATAATAGAATTATTTCAGTACTTTTCTATCATTTAATTCAAAATTATCAATATATAAATGTAAAATTATATAGTCATTAAACTACTTTGTTTGTTTAAATATTTAACAACCCCTTTAAAAAGTGCTCATCAATAGCCAAACAATGTTTAAATTAAACATAATTTTGCTTATAGTTCTGGAAAGTATATAAACATCCTTTTAATATGAACTATAATGAAACTAAATTAAATCTGATAGTGAGAGTTCATTTGCTTATAAGAACCATTTTTTCATTCTTGATAAAACCACTGCTTCAGATGCTGTAGCATTTACAATCTGAAAACCAGAATGCTAATGGCTGATCGTTACTTATGATAGATTAATAACGTGTGACATGGTAATAAAATATTCATTGGTATCAAGTACCTTTTTGTTTTTATCAGTAAAAAATTGAATGCTTGGCATGCCTGCCTGATTGATATCACGATTTTAATACGGAAATACATTGCAGTTCTAGCACGTCTTTTTTGCTATGAAATACTCCAGAATGCCTCATGCTGTTTGCGAATCCATCTTGAAGATAAAATTCTTATGAATTATTAAGTCTCGATCTGCAACGTTCAGTTTATGCAGAAAAAGCAATATTAGAATGTTCCTGATGCAGTGATCTTGGATGCCAGTTGAAATGTGATTAGCATCATGTTCTATTTAAAAATTTCATAATTTAGCTGTAATTGATGAATGCAATAGATCAAATATACAAGTCTCTATGCAATATTTTTAAAAAAAAAATTGAAGGAAAAAATCTGAGTATTTTTGAGTTACACAGATTTTTTTTTTGTAAATTACGCTTTTCCAATTTAAACATATCCAAATTCCCTGATACATTTGCATTCTTTAATTACTGATTTGCAAAATTTGCTATCCTACAGAGCTTGGAGAAAATTGAAATTTTACATCGGTATCTTGAAAGACATCTATATATGTATGATGTGCCTTTAAGATAAACTAATAAATTTCACTCGTATACGTTCATTAATGTTACAAACACCATCGAAACGTACAATTTATGAATTTTTATCACCTTCAATTTGCCACATTTCCTATTGTGAACAATGGAATATATCTTATGGCAATAACACCAAAAAAAAATCAATAAGACGATAATTTCCATACAGTACCAAATTAACCGTAAAACTTATTTTCAAAACCCCCGATTCTAAGAAAACATTAAGTGCCATCAGCTCGATTTTCTCTGTTAGACAACAAGAATGGCAGTGGGGAGGGTGATCAATCTTTTTTTAATTCTTTGGAGTGGTTTAATGCTCTCTTGGCTACGTTAATGATAAATCTGATTTGTAAACAACTTTAGGTGTGGTACATCATTTAATTATGCTGGCCTTCAATATATCGGATTAACTTGCATGTTTATTACGTGCATTAATCATCCACAAACCATCACATAATATACAAACACCAAAACACAGCAAACAGGATGGGTGAAAATATTAATATTTTCAAGTTTTGATTTCCAATCTATTTTCCTACTTCACATGCAGATAGATTCATAATAATTTATCATATGAATTTATAAAACAACTGAATAAATGAATATTAATGAAAAAAAAAAACCATTTTCAATAGTTTGTAACAAATATATTACACATTGAGATCATATCAAAAAATTTTCAAATTTCTCTCTCCGTTTTAGGAAACTTTCCTCTACGACCAGAATTCTGCATTTTCTGGGTCACCACCGATGTTCTGATGTGCACAGCCTCTATCTGGCACATGTGTACCATGTCCATGGACCGCTACTTCACCCTCAAGTACCCAATGAAATATGGAAGAAATAAGACCAAAATGACCGTTGCCTTGAAGATTCTGTTTGCATGGCTGGTTTCAATAACCATTAGTAGTCCTATTTGTGTTTACGGAATTAGTGACACCAATTCTGTGTTTAACGAAGGACAGTGTGTTCCCGCCATCCAAGACTTTGTTATCTACGGCTCAATCTTCGCTTTTTACATTCCCCTGACTATCATGTTAATTACCTATATTTTGACCATAAGGATACTCTGGCGAAACCAGAAGCTCATGAAAATCGACAGATCCGATACATATATAAAATCAAGGATGAAACACGCAGAGATATGCGAGATGAAATCGCTCTTACATCATCAGCCGGAAGACAGGGAAACATGTAAAAGTAACGACACTGATGCTACAGGTCTGGGAACACAACTGAACACCCCACGACATGAAGACAAAAGTCCACAAAATCAAATCTCTCTTCTTAATGAGGATCTAGCTGTCAATTCCATTCAAGAAAATTCTCCAATTCAAGCATTTGATTCTAAATATAGCCTCATTTGTGCTAATGATCCAAAACAAGATAAAGAAATGGAAATGGTTCAAATCAAAATATCCAAGTCTATTTCTAGATCTAGTAATGTGCAAAAGGCAGGTGAGAAGAAGTTAGAGCAAAAAGCTTCCTCCCTGTCCTGCTTAAAAACACCCCACTATGACTACCCTTCCTATAGCTCAATGTGTACAAAATCTCCAAAATCACATCTACTGTTGCCGTCCAGGGGAGATAATTTTCTACGCCTCAGCTCCCATGATTCCTTGGTGAAAAGATCGACCGAAAAATCTTGTATGCATCAGGCAGTGTCGTGCTCAACGGTGAACACTTCTAGTTCTATTTTGTCAAACTTGATCCCATGTTCGGGAAATAGTCACTTTCACAGTTGCAGTGATATTGGGAAAAAAGACCTGAAACTGGTGGAATGGAAAGAAAATTATTCCAAAATACAGAAGGAAATGGACCAAATTTTAAAAGGGGATTTTGACAAGGAAGCTGATCTTAAATGCAGTAGACAATCAATTTTTGCTCAAGCTAAAAGTTCAAGCTCAGACGATTCTATTTGGAATAATGAAATTTCTGAAGAAGAAACATATTATGACTCACATGAAAATTCTTCTTCTAACAAGAAGGAAAGCACGGAAATAGATGAAAAGCATTTGCGACAAATTAGCGACAACGACAAAAATGCTTGGGATGATACTGACTCAACTTCTGACGCTATATACTGGAGCACACACCAATTACTTCCAAGGACAGAATCCTCGCAAAAATTTACCACAACAATCCACCACCACAACAATTTTTTTCCAAAATGTGATACAGAAATGAGTTTACTGAACTCAAAACAAACTACTGGAAATGAAAATCCCTCCCAGTGTCTTTATGCAGGTTTGCATCAATCCCAGTCCAGTATAAACATCAGTATATCTAGTCAGCAGTCTATGCCTCTCTCGGATTCCGGGGACTCTGTTATCGATCCTTCGGATGTCTCCGACAATTCCGAGAGTTTGACAATCAAGTTGCGTCCCACAACCCTACAAATGTACAAGTTTAAAACAAAATCCCTAAGCCCCTCTAGCCCCCTGATTGGATCTAGGAGCAGACTATATGGTGGTTCATCACACCAACTTTGTAATGGAACGGGAAAGCATAACGGCCAAGCAGGTCATAAAATGATCAACAGAACTTTGACCATAAATAAGCTCCTCTCCAAATTAAACAAGGGTCAAGGTGCAAATCCTGTGATGTCCAAAAGGGCCACCACTAATGAACGAAAAGCCTCAAAGGTGCTAGGAATTATTTTTGCCGTATTTGTGATTCTGTGGACTCCCTTTTTCATTGTGAATATTTTGTCAGTGACCTGTCAGCACTGCATGCAGAATGTTACTCCGGAACTAATGTCTTTGTTTCAGTGGATGGGTTACATGGCCTCCTTGGCTAACCCCATTATTTATACCATGTTTAACACCGCATTCCGCAGGGCATTTATTCGGATCTTAAAATGTCACATCTGCATAAACGGTTCTCTGCGAGCGGCAGATCGTAGCACTATGAGTTATCCTATGTCTTATACTGAAAGAAGAAAACACGGAGGGCCAATCTCAGTAAATTATCATCACCATTAGACCTTCGTGAAAAATTCTCCTTCGTATTGCTGCAATATGAACAATGTTTCATCTTTACATTTTGTACAACCCCAGAATGTCCTCCCAATTTTCTATTTATACTTTCAAAATTTAAGGAAAACTCAGCAACAATGAAATCAATCAAAATGCCTTCTATCAAACAAGATAATCATGATTCCATGCATTTTGTTGGACAATCATTATATTCAAGGCGACTTCAACATACATTAACAATGTCTAAACATTGAAGACTTCAGGTGAATTTTCTAACTTAATTGAATTTGATGCAAAAAAAAAAAATTATTCCTCAATCATTGACTCATCTTCTTGTTGTGTTTAGCTTTTTAAATTTTAACACCAAATGTCCTTTAATAAATGTTATTTTTTTAAAAACTTAACCTATTTGTTGTGAAGTTGAAACGAACAGGGTTCATGTTTATTTGAACTTTTGGGCTGTACATCATCAATATGAGAATGTATTTTATTTCTATAATGAAGGAATTTGGAGTGTGTTTATTCGTACAAGCAATGCAAGACATTTCTGTCTCTAGAGCTAATTATGATTATGGTAGAATTGGTATTTTTGGCAAAAATAATGATAATTAGCCAAAACCTGACAATATATTTTTTAAAATGAACATCAAATGAATATTTCCAGTGGCAAAAATTTTAAACTCTTGAGCTAAATTTTGGATAATATATTGAAGTCAAAATAAATCAAACACATTTCTATAACTTCAAAACCTATTTTTTAAATAAACTTGTACTTTTTATGCTTTTGTCCCGATCATAACAACAGTCAGTAACATATCAAAACTTATCTGAGACCACACAACATCTCTTCATTCTCATAAGACTCCTCCTAAAATAGTTCTTGTCTATATTCTTAGTCACTTGAATTGATGAAGTCATGAAGGAAAAGCCCCCAAGATTTCTGAAATGGCCTTATAATGAATGCTGCATTTGCATTCCCGATCTTGGTGGCATCACAATATGAGTGAAAAATTTCTTAAAGGGACAACAAACGAACAGACAAACAAACAAACAGACAAACTGATCTTTGAGGCATATTCATATATATTCATACATTTTCTCTTGAATATAACACCCAATCTCGAAAGCATTGCTTTAATTCTCTCATGACCCACACTAAATCTTAAATAAAGGAAAATGAATTTGTACTACATGAAATCTATTCATTAACATTCCAACGAGCATTTAAAATTTTTCAAGTATAAGCTTAAGGGAGTTGAAGAAGCCTTATTGGATAAGGGGGGGCTGCTCACTTCACGACTGTGATTATTGGCTTAATTAAATCAAACGATATTTTGCAGCAGAAGTGTCGCCAATAAGCGTTTTCGCTGGAGAAAGATTTCGTTGATAAAACCCTCGAGATAGTCTAAATGTCTTCTAAACTCCATTAATATTGTTTTTAGCACCATAAAGAGCCTTCTTCAGATGCTGGCGTTCATGTTATTCGTGAGAACATTAAAAAGATATGTCTTTGGTCCTTCCCTCTTTCTGCTTTTATGGGAAGTAAAAATCATTGGAAGGAAAGCTGAACTATATAAAATCGGGAAAATGCAGTTTATGATTCATTTTCCCTCAAAAAATTTCAAAAACATTTTTTTTGTAATTTAATATATTACAATTTTAATTAATAGTTAGGGAAAAAAGGTTGCATTTCTCAGATATAGAAATTTCATTCTAAAGAATTTTTTAGAATATATTATTGATTTTGTAAAACAGAAGTAATTCTTTTTTTGCAACATATATCATCAATGGCTTTCATAAGTTTAAAAAATAATCTTTTTTGCTTTCAATTATTTCTTAAAAAACTCAATAACTTATATGAAGATTCTTTTATGTTCTTTTGTAATGGAACCATTGTAAATCAGCTATATATAAGCCTTTATCTCTGCACAGCTTAAGAATTATTAGTTTTTTTAATATCAGGCTTCAAATGTGATGATCAATTTAGGGGGAAAAATTCTTAATCATCTCCATAGTATATTAAATTTTCTTCATTAGTAGTTATTAGTGTTCAGATTCCAAACAATGTCCATAATAAAAAGTCCTTTATAACTGTCCAACTGCATCAGCTCAAGAGTTTTAGGAAGAGAGGGTAACGAATCTATTTAATTAGCCCAGGGGAAGTTCCAACGTTCCTTGCCCTTATCGGCTATAGGTTTTCTCACTGCTAATTAATGTCAAAAAAATTTGTACAAAAATATTGTGGCCAGTATGAATTATGGATACAACTGAGATAATTAGGGAGATTTTTTTTTTTTTACAAAAAAAAAGGAAGAATCTGCCGCAGATTTTGATTATAGGCTTGTACATTGCCCTCTGGTTAGTAATCGACAATGGTTGGAGACAGATATGCTGTTCGGATTTCTTTTATTAATTCTAAAAAAATTTTCTTGATAGTTATTTGTGCTTAAAACTTTGTTCAGCACTTAAAAAACAGAAATTTTACATTATTACTTCACAACTAAAACCTTAATTTCCAACTGAATACAGCGCAGAAATGAGCTCCACGGCAAAAAAAATGCACAAGTACCTCTATCAACAGATGTACATAGCAAGTGAAAGCAACCAAAATATGAAATTAAAAATCTCACTCTAATGGAAGTAATGCAGACAATTGCTATTTAAATCTATATGAGCACTGAATCGTTATTTTTGCAAGATATAAAGTCTCATAATTGCAACGATATATGCAAACAAAATGAATAAATTGCGTTAGCACATTATAAAAAATCTGTTTGCTCATCTTGCAAAAGATAATGATTCAATGCTAATATCTCGTAACATTTGTAACAGCAAATGAGATTTTAACGTGAATGTTGATTTTTACTTATGACGTTGCATTTCCACAGCATTCCAAGTTTGTGATGTCAAAGTGAAACGCTTTCTTTAACCTGTTAACTTTTGAGCCCCTGTCCGTGATACAGTAGTTTTCCGCACACTTTCGAAGCAAAATGAATGAGGAATGTAAATATATAATTCATTACTTTCATTTTGGAGGTAAACCAACCTTTTTTTTTCATTAAAAAAAACAGGAATTTTGAGGTGGTATATCCTTGAATTCCCATGGACACTAACTTGGATGAATAGGGTATATTTATAGTTACTGTATTGAAATAACAAATGTTCAGAGCATTCCATATCAAATTGATTCCATACAGTTCTAACTTTTCTGCCAGTCCAAGACACACAAGAAGGAGTCAAACTCTCTCGAGCACCATGGAATAAGATAATAGTAACAGCTAGGAGTAGAAAAGCCTCATAAATTCACTGCATGTTTAAAATATCATCAGCGCTGCATGAACCAGGGGTCACCAGTGCTCAATGAACATATATTTATCTCACTGTTTTCTCCTTAAAATTATTTGTTTGTAATCTGACCTTTACTGCTTTGAGGAATATGTTTCTAAGAGATGCTGAAAAACAGCAAAAAGAACAAAAAATTCAAAGAAATGGCATTCATCTATCATTCAAAGAGAGTGAAATTTATTAAGAAAAAGCTAATAACATATAAATGTGAAAGAGATCAATTCAGATTTCAAACTGACAGGAACTCAATTTCTTTTTGAGAAAAACAATGAAAGTATATGCAATATGAAAGAAAAAATTTTTCTCCTGCTCTCTCAAATCCGTATACTGGATACAGGGAAATTTTCGTAACCATTTTATTTTTGCCCCTTTTGCCCTTACCTTGGTTGGGCCAATTTAAAAAAAGGTGCAAATTCAAAGAAAACAGTATTATTTCTGTAACAAAACTGTGCCTGGGCTAATTTAACACGGCAAAATTGTTTGCAAGGGTGAAAGGGCTAAAATAAAGCAGGGTGAAAAAAACCCTGTATACAGTGTTTCTCAAAGTTCTTGATCCTGGAATTATGTCTGAGTAAAATCCTTACATAAATTTTATTCTTCATGACTCCAAATTACACCCACAATTTGTATAGTAAGTGACGACAACCAATATGCCATCACGTGAGTTTCGATACTAATTGGGTAGTGAAGTGTGAAGTTAGTACAACTTACTCATCAGCACGACTGTGATATTTCGTTAATTGGATGCTTTCGTGTACCACCCTTTTGAATGTGTAGATACTAATAACTTATCAAGTTGTTTGTTAAATTGACACATGTAGAACACCTGAATTGATTAAGCTTCAGCATCTGACAATCATTTTTGTGTTTATCCTGACCGTAACCTTATTTGGCATCGCATTTCCACCTCATTAATGACTATTCCATGGTTTAAGCTGTACATGTAGGAGGTTTACTCCTTAAGTAGAGTATTCCCTAGCTAAAGAGCACATCTGTAAATCAAAGCAGCATTTGACAATGATCCCAATGCAGATTGCGTCACTTTCATCATAACCCACACAATAACAAACTAACCCACCCAACCACACACAAGTAAGTTATCATATCCCCTCCAACTTGCAAGAGGATAATAGGCAACAATGTTAAAAAGTTCACTGAAATATGAACTTGCATGATTGTTCACATAAATTCTATGAAGCCCAGAGGCCTTCTCTGTAGATTTATTATCACATACCCATTTAAACCAAGTTCATTTCCTATGCATAGAAAATTAAATTTCAAAACTGTTCTTTATTTCATAATATTTACATAAAGTAAAATAAAGTGATCAACTGGAATCAAATATTAAACTAACGACCCATCATAATGTTGCATTGAGATGACATGACTTTAAAAAGTGTTGCAAAGTATAATTCCTTCCAAATTATCTGAAATATTTTTGTAAATCTTAATTACAGTAAAACATGCATATAAATTAAAGTGCCATTATCGTTATAAATGGAATTCTTTAATTTTGTAAAACAATTAAAAATGCATTTAATTAAAATTTCTTATTTCAAATAATAACCTTGAAATAAAAATTCATCATGATGTAATCCTTCTTGACGAAGAAGAAATCTAGGGGGGAAAGAAAGAGAGGCAATTTACAAAATGGCCTTGGCAAAGACGCAGATATGATCTAGGAATGGTGAGGGAGGGCACCTGCTAACCAACAAAGGTACATTTTGGGGATTTAGCTCGAGTACTTTGTCTATTGATCATCAATAAAAACACCTCCCACACCAATATTAAAGTTTCCCACTAACACCCCACATCCCACATCTATTGCACAATACACATACATATTACCACTATATCGATACTTTATCGTTATCATGGTTATATCTTGATCACTGATAATATTTGTACAGACTTAAGACAGGTATAGATCAAAACAACATCTTTTAAATTTGCAGGGAGATTAAAAGCTTTGTTTTTCTTTAATGTGTATGCATACACCCTATTTACCACATCCAGGCTTTGAAAAGTATCAACCGCAAAGATCAAAATGGTCAAAATGAGAGACTCTCTGGCTGAAACATCAAGTAAATGTTTACAAAATCATTTTCATATTTTTAAAAGATATGTCCTTGATTAATACCTAATAATAACTTTTGTATGTACAGCATATTATTGCATGCCTGATTGTCAGTGTAAGCAATGGGAAAAACAAAGGGTCAGTAGGGACTGGAGACACATTTAACTGGGTAGACAGGAAAACCCGTAATCTTCATTGATTCATGTGAGCCTCTCTGCAGCTGTTCTTGGGCATTAATAAAAGGAGCTAAGAAGGATATCAGAACACAGATGATTATATATGGTAGTAAGTACAGCTATAATGCAACATTTTGGTTTAATATTCTGGACATCTGAAAGAAATCGACTTACTAGTGCCAGTGGAATTAATTTGGTCAGTTTGTAAGATAAATCAGCTTCCCAAAACTTACTTAACTTCATTGATCATGAAATCTAGCACCATGTATTGAAAAACACCATGAATTGAAAACATATCTAATTTTTTTTTTTTAATTCAGTAAAGTCTGGACTCTAATAACTTTGTACTTTTCATAAATGTTGGCTAATTTCTCTTTAATTACCTAAGCCTTTCTAATTCTTAAACTTAATTGTGAATTTTCAAATCCAATATCCTAAACTGTTTAACTTCAGCACCAAAAAACCTCAATTTTGCAAGCTAGCAAAAAAAGACAACCTAATCCTCCTTCCAAAATTTGAGGATTGTGCAATTTTATACTTTAATCTGAATTCCCCCTTCCTTTTTTCTCATCTGCACTTATACGGTAATGAATTAATTGATCAATCAGCATATAAGAATCATTTCTCCACACTGATTTACATAGCCAGTATATAGCTGATTTACATAGCCTATAGCACTTTGTCTTATTTCTTTTTTATGCAATGTAAGCAGTGACAACAATGAACAGAGCTTGGTCCTATCAAGAAAAAAGAATGGAACACCGCACACTGTAATAGGAAATTTTCAGACAAGGACGCACCCTAAGGAAATGAAATAAATCTGATCCGATAAAACCACTAACTCAGAAAATTGCAATTTGCACATTTTGTGTTTAATCAACACTTATTGTGCTTGGTTATTCATTGGCGAATGTCATTAATTAAGCAACAGTTCGATAAAAAATACCAGTGGACATCTTGCAGGTTGTTTAAATCATGGTCCAGGACAAATAAAAATTTTACTGTTTCAAGGGGACCAGTACATTCAAGATAGAGATAGATTCAAGATCAGTACATACGAAAGAATCAAAGAGGCCATACATTGATGATTAGTCAAAGTTCATGCATGGGGATAGAAATTTATCCATGACAGAAACTCATGAAATCTTACAACACAGGATTCATCCTATGAATGCCGAATCTTGAAATTTTTGCCCAGTTTTATTTTTGCCCCTTTCGCCCTTGTCAAAAGGGAAAATGACAAGGGGCTAAAATAACCCAGTATACAGTATTCATTGTAGTCAAAAAAGTTCACAGTTTTTTTATATTGTCAGGTAAGGTATATTACAGATGGATTTTTTCCTTTATAAACCTACATGTCTCTAGAATCATAGCACTGTCAGTAGACACTAGCTATTATATCTTATCCTTATACTATATTCTCCTTATGACCCCATTCCCCTTTAAAAACCAGTCTTTTTTCTCAGACTTAAAGCAAATGACATGTATTTCTTTACCCATGCTTTACTTCACATAAGACTCATAACCAAGAAGATTTCACCCAAATAAATGCACTTTAAACCAGATATTCCAGGCAACCAGATATTCCAGGCAATATTAACAAAAAAAAGAACAATCAATATGAAAAACTCCACTCAAATTAAGCCATAAAAATCCAACAATGTAATCCCAATATGCAATTAAAGAGTTCAATACATCCATCTAGAGTCAAATTTAAAAAAAAAACATCATATTTTTGTATGTCAGAGACTGATTCCTAGAAATGTTGTATCTTATCTAATCCCTTCATTCATGAAGAGGAAAAAATCTGACGTTATGAGGTAATATTTGTACTTTTGTTTGCCCGTTATCGAAACTCCGATTACTTCATGCCAATTCGATGTAAATCACCCAAAATCTTTTGCCGACATCAAGATAACCTACGAAGAAGAAGACATTTACCAAGACACTGGCTTCCACTAAGCACGTTCATTCATACTACGACAGGAAGTCGTTCATAACGGAGGCCCATCTTTCAAAGATGGACAAATTGATTTCCAATTTTTTGCTTATCAAATTATTGTCTCTCGATTACTTTTGAGGCAAACATGCTTTTGCTGTTAAAGGGAACGACAAATGAATACAGTCATTTTCACAATTAAAGGTATTGATAAACATGTCTAGAAAAACAGGCCGAAATAGAACTGGGATTCACTACTAGGTTGGTTATAGGGTTAACGTAACATAGTAACTTCTTATTGAAGGAGAGTCATTAAATTGTTATTGGTTTCAAATAACTTTTCATTTTTAAACTAGTTCTGGCAATGAAACAAGATACTTTGCTCACGTTTTGTACTTCTGACGACAGCAAACTAATAAACAATCTTTTATACTGATTTGTGTATATTAAATAAATTAGAAAATCAGATTCTGCTTTCTGGGCAAAAATGCCATGATTATGGAAGTTTTATCAATCCTTACACAATAATTAAGCCTCCACACTTTGGATGCAAATAATAAGAAGCCTTAATGACTTCTGGAAAATATCTATGGAAAACAGAATTTACATGTACAACTTATGAAAGGTTATAATTTTCACTACTGTAGACACTTCATCAATCTCAACAAAGTGGATCAACAAAGCTTGAAGGAATATCTAAATTCTAAGTCATGAATATGAACTATGTTCTAACAAACAAACAAATGCACAGACAAACAGCAAAGAAGAAACAATCTTCATCCAACACCAAATGGTCAAAGGTTCCCATATAATATAAAGCTATGTATATAAGCTCAGGGACCATTCCAGAATCCAATCTGTCACAATATCTCACTAGCAAACCAAACAAATAGTGATTGATGTTACAAGTGATCAAATTAAATGTTAATTCTGTCGCCATCACAGAGAAGCAACTCTGAGGGTTTCCTATTATACTGGTCAGTAACCACAAGAGGTCAACCACTCAGCCATTTGTCTTACAAAATTAGAGGCCTTATAGACCATTTACACAGAGTATCAAGTCTGTATATATGTGTTCCGGGGCTAAAGATAATAATCTCTAAATGTATTTCACTTAGTCATGTGAACCACATAATTTGTCAAAGACTAAATGTTTCTCACAAGTTATGTGAACCACACAATATGTCAAGGACTAATAAATGTAGCTCACTAGTCATGTGAACTATACAAAGTGTGAAAGACCTAACACATCCAACCAAGTTATATGATGAACCATGCAATATGTCAAAGACAAAATGGTATCCTAGATCCTTTCTGAATTCAATTTCACCTCTCACCAAACTTCTGTCATAATGCCACAAACACCTTACTATTGTTTCTTCTGATAAATAGGGAGATGAATTTACTGCAATTGCTTTTCTGTCAAATGCAGATAAAGAATTCAATTTTGGAAAATATGAGGTCTTAATACAAGTAGGTGATTGAATGCTTTTGATGGCACCATGTAGTAAATTCACTTGTAAGTATGGGGATTTTATTTTCAAATCTTATGACCAACTTGATTTACTGTAATTTTAAATAGCCCAAGAATTTTTTCTTACTTCTTGTTCTATCAATAAAACAGTAAAGAATAGGACACATTCATTTTTCAGACGTGCAAAATAAACTGGTGAGAAGAAAGCTATACAAGATGATAGCTGCTCCTCCAGTTTCTCTACAGACATACAAACAAACCTGAATAGGAGGAATCCAAGGGAGGTCACTGCCACTCTCCTCACGTCATCGTTAACATCACTGACCTGAAAAAAAAAAAAACATTTCAAAGATAAAAATACAATGCAAAACATTTTTTTGTATAATAGTACTCTTTCTGCTCTGCGAAATCAAAGGCAGAATTTTTTTAACAGAGGAAGGGGGTGGGGGATAGGGTTAAAATCTTGGAAAAATTGTAGTTTTTCCCCCAAAAAAGCCAAACATTAAAACAGTAGTTCTCTTTAAATTTGTTTCACGATTTTTTTATGTACCCGGAAAAAAAATTACTTATCAAAATGAAGGCATAAAATTATTTTTACTTAAATGTGATCAATCATCAACATTATGGCACATATTGTTCTTTTCTTTGCAGATTTGAATAGAAGGAAAGAAACTTTCTTGCTTTTCAAAATATTGCTTTAAAAAGTCGAAAAAACAAAATTTTCTTTTCAGTTTGAATCCTACCTTTCAAAATAAATTCATTAATTGTCAAAAATATTTTTTACAGATATTCAACCCTTACCCTGTTAAAAAAACTAACTTGTGAATAAATTTGAATTTGAAGAGCTGAAAGAGGGAAAACAATATATAGTTAGGTACATTTGTGTACCATTATCTATCCATTTTCCACATCATGTGTTGGCTGAATATGTCTGCAGACTTTGTGTTGCTGTTCAAATGCAAAAAGGTTTCAGAATTCTGGATATGTTGTTATTTAAAGGAACTTTCACAGTTTCATAAATTCCTTTAATTAGGCAATAAATTACAATCAAAGAAATGAAAAGGTGGATGCTCATACCAATTAAATAAGAAAGATTGCATGCAGCGGCACTTAAAGTGGCAAAGTCCCTTTGATCACAATGTTACAAATTCATCTAACTTCTCTGGTATAGTTTATATCATAATTAACATGTATAAACTCACTTTCTTTTTATCATGTTAAAGCATCTAAAAAACCTCAATCAAACAAGAAAACTGTCAATTTTTTCTCAATGTAAAATCATGCCAAAATAAAAACCCCAGGTTAAAAAATGCAGTATATCAAATTTGAAATTTTTAATTTTTTCTAATCACTTCACGCTGTGTCTTGTGTGAAGTTTATCAAAGAACATGACAATACAATCCCAGAAGCCTGACAACACACATCTCTAGTCAGAGTCTCTCAGCTCCACATTAAGGGAGGGTTCATTACTTCTCAGCACGTGGCCAGTCTCATTGATCCTCAAAAATACAGACAACTCCCCAATCACCTGCCCCGCACTAAATAGGTTCTCCATATTTTTAAGCTCTGCTTTTTTTCTGTAGTTGATTTTTTTTTATCTGAATAATTCTTCCAGATAAATTGACCTATTTTTAATGAACTTTGATTTTTTTGAGATATTATTTAAACTTGTGTGTCTATCAAAGATATTCAGGAATGTTTTATTACTGTAGTTCTGATTTTTTAAGGGGAAAATGCCAAAACAAATACTTTTTAAAAAATATCACAGAAAAAATTCTCTAAGTATACATCAATTTGTGTTTACCATCAAATTACATTACAGTAAATAACAAGGGTGGATCCATGATTTGAAGTTATAACAGGAGGCAGCAGCGGAACTAGTTCTTTGGCTGCCTTCAGAATCCAAGGCATTAAATCCCTTACTTTTTTAGATATTCCAGTGATTTTTTTGTTTTCATGAATAGAAGATAATACACAAAGGACACAGGAAGTTAGAAAATTGGTCTGAATTGAGTTTATTCATTTCGACACATTTTATTTCATAAAACATACTAGTAGAGAGAAACTTTGCATTATGGTACACTTTTCATGCACTCAGTCAGTCTTGCCATGTGTATTCTTTACTGTGTTTCAATTTAAAACATATGAGCCAAATTCAGCCTTTATCAGGCTTTATCCTTTAAAACTTTATAAAAGCAAGGACTTTTTTGGTTTCATAACAACTTATGCAACTGACATTGTGAGAAGTAATTAACATTCGTCAAAAAGGAAAAGTATGCACCTCACTTCCTGAAACTGATGTTGAAAACAAGAAATAAACAATACTGGAATTTAATTTCACAAGAACAATACATCTTAATTTTAGCAAACTGTAGAAAAAAAATCAAAGTAATTTTTCCCTTATATGGAGAAAAAATATTTCATTTCATTGACAGTTCCCCTTTTTCCCCCATTGATAATAACACTCTTGTTTCACATATAAAAGCCTTTTCTGCCTAATAGCTAAAAAAAATCAAATTACAACAGGGAAAAATTGAAAACCTCCATTATTAAATCCCAGACATCTCTTTATAAGACTGCCTTTTCATGGCCGATTTAAGCCAAACTGTCATTCAAAGAAGAACTCCTCATGCAAAATATAACACGGGGGATGGTTTTGTAATAATGACAATTTCTCTGATTTTCAGCCAAATCCAATTAGAGATGACATGTTTGTTTCAAATTCTCTGATTTTATGACATGGTTTGCCCGTTATTGGCTGCGCGATTAAGATGATATCGTAGAGCTACAGAGCTCTTGATTGTGTTCCTCACCGAAACTTACACTTTATCTAAAGTATTTATAGGGAGCATGGAGTTCTCGCAGAATCGTAAATGTCACGTCTTCCCTGTTTCCACTCAATTGACATGCACCCAGCACTCTCCTAATTGAACCTCTTTATGTTTTCTGCCTTAATTTTTATACAGACCTATTTTTTTTATGTCTTATTCATCAAAATATCTTTCATTTATTTATTAAATCATAAATCATATTTTTTAAACCATAAACTACAAGAAACATTGCAAGGAACAAAGGAAAAAAATCATTTTCTCTTCATTTAGAATGGGAAATGATGCTAACATACGTTAACATACTATGTAATTTTCACATGATTTCATACTGCTACTAATGTTTACTCAACTGCATGAATTGATTAGTTTTTGGGTGTTTTTTTCAAGAAAAAAAAATAAAAAATTGTGTAAATTCAAACTAAAGCATTTGCATCAAGAATTTATAATTCAATAAAAAATGCATTAAACATACATGTATATAAAACTAATAAAAGGTCATAATCCCATACATACAAGATTACACAATATTAAGACTGTAACTTAAGAATCAATTTCCATAATAGCTACATATTTATTGTCTTCCAATTTTATCACTACGCCGGGAATATTCTAGGAAACGGAGTACATTTACGCAGATATACATCTATAAAAGGCCTGCTTATCCTCATCACTATTGATTTCATATGATACCAGCTCTTAGTAGAGCATAATATCAAAAAACGCCAATTTATCTTGGCCGTTATAGAAAAAGCGGCTCAAGAAGCCAGCCGAGGGGAGGAAATGAGTTGGCCTGGCCTTCAGCTTATGGACCTAACAGTGTACTTATGCAACACAGAGAAATGATTGTGTTCGGGATCAATGTCACAGCGGGAGTCACATGTTCATTAACCAAACCTTACAAAACGATCTCGGAACACCAGCCTTGACCATGATACGTGTTATTATCAGAAGTCAAACTTTAATTTTCAGTGATCTATATTATTGAAAATGATTACATCATAAGAAAGAGAAGATGGGGGGAGAGAGGGAGTCACTTGTTTGAGTAAAAAGAAAATTTGCCCCCTTTGTAAATTTATATGATTTGTTCAAATTAAATAAGTGAGGAACAGAATGGGGTATTTTGGACTGCTTTTACAATGTTTTTAATACAGATATGACTGTCATCTGTCTACCTGTACACAATGAAACAAAATAATCAAGTTCTTCTCCGACTTCAACTCTATAGCAACAGAAGTTCAGGTTTTCATTACTGATTGTATTAAAAAATCATTGTCTTCAATGAATGCTTTCAATAAGTTAAAACAAGGAGAGACACAGACAACTGCAAGAAAATGCAGCACAGTAATGAATTTGCACCACACAGAAAGAGAAATTGAACTCACAGCCACATGTAGTAGTTTACGGATGGCCTGGTTGCTTCCTGAGCCACAGTACGCCATAGCGATGGTAAACATGCCGGACCACCTTAAGATGGGGTCCTTGTCCATACACAGACTGTCAATGAGAGCGTCAGCCTCTTCCAGTCGCCCATACATGGTGAGGGCGATACCCAGGGCCAGGCCTCTCAAGATCTTCTCATGCTGTGTCTCCTTGGCATACTGAATTGTGTGGATTAATAAAACAATTAAACAAAGGTCAACTATTTAATTAGAGGAAAAGGCGTAATGGAGGGAGAAAATTTGCACTTCTGAATACATTTTCCCATTTTACAAGTTCTCAAGTTCTTTTGTAAATCTGAGAGAGAAAAAGAAAGAAAATTGATTGGAATGTGACATCTACTTTTTTCTTCACAAAATCATATTTGAATGTTTTAACAGTACTTTTAGTACTTTGATGAAAAGCAACACTTACAGCCACCATGTCTTCGATAGCAGTAGACTGTTTAGTACCCAACATGACCAGACCCATGGCTATTCCTGCTGCTTCACCTAAAACACAGAGAACAATACATTAGTTAATTCCTTTATTTCAAAATTTCTTAGCAACTCATACGCTCAAAGAGTAACACATGCATGAAAAGTTGCTTGTAGCAAAGTCCCAAGCACACACAATTTTGCTTCATTATAAAGATAATATGTTATATATCTGTTATTAAGTTCATTGTATGTTTTAAAACTACTGGGAATGAAAATCACTTTGCTAAAAGGGTGACTTCTGTTCATAATAAGCATGTTTTTACTGTATTTGATAATGTCAGCCAAGATTAAGCTTATCTCTATTGTGAATGTCTGACTTTAATTTGTTCATCACCAAAGATCTTTCTATTTTAAAATTCCTTCAAATCAAAAATGACAAATAAAATGCTTTACCTGTGACTGCATCATCTTGGTAAAGGTTAAACTTCAACTGTTCATAAATATCTACAATAAAAAAAGTTTAACATCAACTCTTCATAATCATCTACAATTTATAATCATTATGGTTAACTGAAAGCATATTACGATGTAACAGTCAAACCTCATCATTGCAAACTTACAGGGGTTGAGATAAAACTTGAAGATACCAGAGGACTCAAGATATCAAGGGTAAAATAAGTTAATTGGACTTCCAGATGACTTTGACATATCCATGGTATTCTTGATACCAAATTACAACTGTACAAGTAAAGCTTAACAATTAATGTGAAATATTCTTTACCCAAAATAAGTTGTTGGTATATATTTACAAGCCAGCTATATTTATTATTTTAAGAATATACACTATACACTATGCACTTGGATAGGACTAAGATGAGCAAAATTTACCTTGACCAAACACAAAAAATAAGCAACCTTGCATGGAAATCTGGAATAACTGCCATTTTACATGTCAATTGTAAATTATTGAAAATGATATAATTAACAGAAAATTGTTACCATGACATACAAAATCTTTACGTCAAGTTTGGAATAAATAAACTTAACAAGAGGCCCATGGGCCACATCGCTCACCTGAGCAGCTTTGACCATTCTGTTCTTTACCAGATTTCCCCCTTGTAATACATATTGCGACCCCACCCTACCCCACTGATCATAATTTAGACATTTTGAAATCTACACTACCCCAGGATGCTTCCATGTGCACATAAGTTTCAACTTTTCTGGCCCAGTGGTTCTTGAGAAGAAGGTTTTCAAAGATTTTTCCTATATATTTCTATGTAAAGCTTTGATTCCCCATTGTTGTCCCGCCCTACCCCAGGAGGTCATGATTTGAATAATTTAAAATCTGCACTACCCTAGGATGCTTCGACATAAGTTTCAGCTTTTCTGGCCCAGTGATTCTTGAGAAGAAGATTTTCAAAGACTTTTCCTATATATTTCTATGTAAAATTTTGATTCCCCATTAGGGCCCCGCCCTACCCCCTGGGGTCATGATTTGAACAATTTAGAATCTACACTACCCCAGGATACTTCCAAATAAGTTTCAGCTTTTCTGGCCCAGTGGTTCTTGAGAAGATTTTCAAAGACTTTTCCTATATATTTCTATGTAAAATTTTGATTCCCCATTAGGGCCCCGCCCTACCCCCGGGGGTCATGATTTGAACAATTTAGAATCTACACTACCCCAGGATACTTCCAAATAAGTTTCAGCTTTTCTGGCCCAGTGGTTCTTGAGAAGATTTTCAAAGATTTTTCCTATATATTTCTATGTAAAGCTTTGATTCCCCATTGTGGCCCCCGGGGGTCATGATTTGAACAGTTTAAAATCTACACTACCCCAGGATGCTTCCACACAGGTTTCAGCTTTTCTGGCCCAGTGGTTATTGAGAAGAAGATTTTTTAATGACCCCACCCTATTTTTGTCTTTTCTTGATTATCTCCCCTTGTGAGGGGACTTGGCCCTTCATTTTAACAACTTAAATTTCCCTTCACCCAAGGATGCTTTGTACCAAGTTTGGTCAAAATTGGCCCAGTGGTTCTTGAGAAGAAGTTGAAAATGTGAAAAGTTTACAGACGGACAGACAGAAGGACACCTAGACAGCTAGACAGATGGACGGACGACGGACAAAATGTGATCAGAAAAGCTCACTTGAGCCTTCAGCTCAAGTGAGCTAAAAAGTACTTCAAATTTCCAACACCTTGTAAAATGACCTTAGTTTGATGTTTTCATTATACAGCCAATAGCAACCACTCAATGAAAGTTTAACCTCAAATATTCTAAAAACAATGTTAAAGAGCCTATAAACAATGATGAATATAAAGTGAAAACACATAGACTGACAAAGTGATTTTCCAATACCCCCAAAATTATTTGAATATAAACAATATGAATATTTATAATTTGTTTCACATTATTGCATTAAGGTTTGGCCACTTTTTTATTTGTTGTAATTAACACATTTTCCCCTTTTCTAAATAGTAAGTACTGAGTAATAAAATATCCGAATCATGCATCTTTTCAAGTGGAAATATCATATACATGTATAATGATTAAAAACTCTTTGAAGTTATGAGACATATAAATCTAAAATCTGAAATTATGAGTGGAAATTGCATCTTCTTTCTGCATCTGTATAGGTCATATTTTTCTTTTTTGATTAAGTTTGCATAAAACTTTTTACAACAAACCTACAGAGACACTTAACCCAGATCTTAGATAACCATAAAAATAGCAAATACACCATTAATATTTCAGTCATCAGCTCATCTTAAATCTTAAAAAAAAAAAAACTAGGTTGATAGAACCCCACAAGTGGCATTGTTTCCTTTAAGACTTATCTGGAATGATTTCAACATCAATTTTTATCATCACATTGAAAATAAACACTTTCTATAATGATCGTTTAAACCGGGATAAAATTAGATTTCAGCCCCGATTTCTTTGTCAAGAGAGATGAAGTACCTTGTCTGTATGAAGTTTTCAACATAAAATAAAGTCATTTATTTCCAAGTGATACTTCTAATGAGATGTCATAAATCTTATTTAAAGTATATGAATTACGAGCAATCGAAGAAAGGGGCACGCAGAAAGTGGCGAACTAGTAAGACCTCCTACCATAACTTTCTCAGATCGTGAGTGATGCCTCGAAAATTATAAAATGAGCTGATACATAATAATATATCTCATTGTGCATTGTTATCAATTTACAAAGTTTGTTCTTGTTTTGTACCTAACAAACTCGTACATCCTTTGTGCACATCTCTCAAGCTTCCTTTCAAGCAATAAAATTAGACTCTACACTTAATGAGTCCTAGGTAGAAATCATTGCCCCAATATCTAAAGTTCACTGTTTCAGTTGTCATTGCATTCCATTCCGATGTTGGTATGAGGAGTTATGTAATTTATAGAGAGGCACTTGGTGTTATGACATTTTTTCAACCAACATGTGTTCATCTGGAAATATGTATTGTTTGCTTTGCAAGCATATTTCTTGTGTGAAAAAATACTTGTTTACCTAGCTTAATAATCTACTATAGTTCTCTTGTTAACTGTTATAATTTGGTATACAGTGTTTCATGTAAAACTGCCCAACAATTAATTAAATAAAAACATGAAAAAACACCAGGTGTTCTCACATCCCCACATACTTTCTCAAATCATCATGAAATATCTCATTTAATATTCTTGTACATCTATTCTTTACATTTTTTAAACTATTTGCCAAATGAACTGCTACAGTACTATTGAACTCTGATAACTTAAATGTCAATATTTAGAATAACATGGATATGTCTGAGTTAGAGTTTAGAAAAGCGTTTTTTTTTTTAAATTTCAACCTCAATATCTTGAAACTTTGGATATCTTGAAGGTTTTTCTTGGTCCTCTGCTGTTCAACATAACAAGATTTGACTGTATTTCAGTAAAAGTTTGATTTAGAATGACAGTACAAAGAGACACAATGACATAGACATGGAACAAACTGACAGTAACATGAAATGAGATAAAATACCAGAGACATATGAAATATGATGACAGTCACATGAGTTTAAATGAAAGTGACATGACAGTGACATGAGACAAAATGAAAGTGACATAGATGGTGACATGAGACAAAATGAAAGTGACAGGACAGTGACATAAGACAAAATGAAAGTGACACAGACAGTGACAAAAGACAAAATGAAAGTGACACAGACAGTGACAAAAGACAAAATGAAAGTGACATAGACAAATGAAAGTGACATGACAGTCACATGAGACAAAATGAAAGTGACATGACAGTGACATGACACAAAATGAAAGTGACAAGACAGTGACATGACACAAAATGAAAGTGACATAGACAAAATGAAAAATGACATGACAGTGAAGTGTGGCAAATATGACAGTGGCATTTTAAAAAAATGACAGTGACATGAGACAAAATGAAAGTGACATAGACAAAATGAAAGTGACATGGCAGTGAAGTGTGGCAAATATGACAGTGACATGTGGTGAAATGAAAGCGACATGTTACAAAATAAAAGTGAAGAGACAATGAGAGAAACAATGAGAGAGACACACTAACAAAATAACAATGACATTTAACAAAATGAAAGTGACATGAAAACAATTAGACAAAATGACCAATGAAACAAAATGACAGTGACCTGTGACAAGAATTCAGTTTCAAGTGACAATAAGACACTGACATAGGACATCATATTGCATACCTTGTCTTGCTGTTCCCATGGCAGCCAAACCCAAACCAAGACAGCCACCATGTCGAACCATCTAAAATTATCAAATATTACAATAAACATTCATTTCCTAAATAATTTTTTGTTAACAAAAAGCCTTATTTTATTTAAATGAAAAAATAATCAAATGGAAATAAAATAATGGTTTTTCTTCTGTTATTTTAATATAAATAAGGTAGTGATAAAAGCACAAGAAGGTACAATTGGCAAATATACTAGAAAATGGCATTAAAAAATTACGTCATCAGTAAACTTTGAAAAATCATTTTCTCTTCATTTAATTAAGAATTAAAATAGTTTCACGAGGCCGAGCAGGCAGGAAACATTTTTTCACGTTACAAAATACAACAAAACATGATGTTCTGAAAGTGCATTCCATCAATGATGTACTTTTGTGTTGTTGTGTGTTTTTTTTTCCCTGTCAGACATATTAATCAATTCTGTTTAATGAAGTACAAAAACTGTGTAACAAAATTACTCCTACGTGCATCAAAGGGAAAATAAAACTGATTTTTAATCACTTTGTAAAGACCAATCTTCATGAATTGATAGGACTGATAAAGATAACAGTGCTTCAAGAATTTGTTTTAATTATTCTTGACTGCATGAATACATTTTTATTATCTTTTTAAACAAAATTTTAAAACTTACATCAGTTGAGGCATCTTTCAATTGGTTGAGGAGATAGTCTGTTATTTCTCCGCCATGGTTAGCATGTATTAAACCTGTAAATAATGAAAAGATCTCTAATTACAATCTATAAAATTCTTGTTATTTCTCCTCCATGATTTGCACGTATTAAACCTGTAAGTAATTAAAAGATCTCTGATTAAAATCTATAAAACTCTTCATATTCAAGAATGAGAGGTTGGTTTCCAATTTTTTAAAAAATCAGAAATATGCTGGCATCTCAGTTGCAGCTCTTCTTTTTTCTTTAAAAAAACGATTGGCAAATGCATGTGAGATTAGTTCAAGATTAGGACGAAAATATCAAATTATCATGTCATCTGCAAATTGAACATACATGTACTTAAATTTTGACCAAACGAAACTGTTTTCTAAGTAGCCATTTATGCTGAAGAAGAAAGATTTGTCACTTCACACAGACTGTAGTTAATAGGGAGAAAAAGGAAGGAAAAGAGGGGTGGTGGTGGTGGTGGTGGGGGGGGGGGGGGGTTGATAGACACTCAAAAGAAAACTTATCCATGGTTCACTTATTAGATAAGTTTGTGTTGACAACTGAAAACTTTTTTCTAGAAGGAGAAATTTTAAAAATTCATGTCATGACTAAGCATAATATTTTTGGACTGAGAATTTCTATTTACCATGAAATGCACATTAGAAGAAACATTATCAAAGAATTTACACATCAACAAGAATACAGAAATAAATCTTGTTTATCCAAAAATTCTTAAGAAATAGAATAATTTTTTTTTTATTTACCTCAATCAAGAAACAAATTCAATCTTGACAGAATAATTCTCTGGATGATGAATACATTCAAATGCTACAAATTTTTGTTTTTCCAGTGAAAAATAGCATTTATACAAAGAGCCTTCTCATGTTATTCAAATTATCTCTGATTTTTCTGAATTCCATGTTCAATTTGCTGTTGGGCAGTTAAAATGTTTTTGCTCACTTCAAGACAAATTCCAGAAATATTACACTATTCTTTGTTTGTTTCTTCAGACTTGTCAAAATATAATGCATAAAGTGTATTTTTATCCTATTTGGTAAATATTCTTAATTCAAGAAAATATTCATAATTTCTTTATTTAAAAATAGAAATAGGAAACCCAAAGGCCGCAGCACTTATCACAATTACCAGATTCTGACAAAAATACCACACTCCAAAAACAATATGGCAGAGAAAACATACGTTCATGTCCTACTCACAGAATTTAACAGTAAATTTGATTTGCAGTAAATTAATGCAAAATTGTGTTTAAATGGAAGTGGATCAGAAGCCCTTTGCTATAGCAAAGATGAGTAACAGTGGAGGACAATAATACATCTCTTACCTAAAGCATAGAGTCCCCCTCCTTCAGAATAAGCTGACCCGGGACCAGAATCTTTAGGTAAGTATGTAGACATGAGATTCAGCGCCTCTTTTTCATGACCCTGCAGAAATTTTAAAAAAATGAAGAATGATTTTTGTTGAAACAGTTACTGCTTATTTCTTCTAGCAGTTATTTAAAATTCACCTTTCATTCAAATATCTAAAAAAATATTTATTAACAAGAACAAAGAACTTACCTTATGTATAACACCTAGACTAGCAGTAGCTGAAAATTTAGCCCAGTTTGCAGCTCTAGCTAACCATTCCAAATTATCTCTGAAATAAAAAAAAATCATGGAGATTCACATAAATGAAAAAGTGACAGAACATAACATGACTACATCTAATAAGATTGGGCAGATCTGACCACTATAACCACCTCTCTTATACAGACCAGAGACATTCTGTAAATGTATTACATTTTTAGCATCTTTGGACAAAAGGAACTTCTGCTAATTCAAGTGCAATGTTAAAGTGTTGCACATACCCTGTACGTACATAGATTAAATCAAATCTATGCTAAATTTCTATAAAATCAATATCCATCAAATATTGTACATGCCTAATATTATACATCCTATTCCATTTTACAGTAAAAAGTGTCTAATCTGAACTCCATATAGGCTTCAATGAAACTTGTCACATTAAATATTTGTTTTCAACAAATGAATATTTTGCATGAGGCTCTATTAAAGTGAAAAGCAATATTTTCAAATATAAAAACATTTTAATTACACAAGTTTAACTGTACAATACATATCAAAAGAATTGATACAAATTCGAAAGAGGCACATATTCTACATGGGAGATAAATCAATGGAGACTTTCTAAGTCAAAGAAAAGACTTTGTTGAAAGATAAGCTTACCTTAAAAATTGATCACAGGTTGTTCCACAGTGCATAAAAGAGTTAGCTATCACTGTAGCTGAATGACATACAGAATTTCTTACTGCCTCCTGTGACAAAAAAAATTAATTAAATAAAATCATGACATCATCCATCACCATTCTTTGCTCCTTTTGAACTAAATAAACATTCTTTTTTCCCTACTTTTTGATAAATCTTGGAATAAGTCATTTTAATCTTTTGTAAAATTTAAATCGGAAATAGAAATTTTCTGTTCAAGTAGAAAAATTTTTTAGACTTATTTCTACGAATAGAATTTGAGATATGTTTTCTCCCACCTTTTTTTTTTTTTTAGTATTCCTGGGTTATGTATTTATGAATTTGTCTTTTTTATTTCTACCACTTTTGTATTTTTCATTATGTTGGATTTCTTTCTCCCACCATTGTATTTGATTTATCTACTTTTGAATATTTGTGTGTGAAAATGTCTGAGTTATTTCTCCAATCTCTTGTTATTTTTCATTCAGTAATTCTGTATCATTTCTCCCACATTGTCTGATGTCTTAATTTGTCTGCATATTGCAAAAAGTTTCTAATTTACCTGTCTTTGTAATTTTGAGTGTATCTGATTTACTTACAAAGTTACAATGTACCTTTGTATTTTATAAGCATATCTAATTTCCCTATCTTTGTATGTTGAGTATATCTAATTTCCCTATCTTTGTATTTTGAGTATATCAGATTTCCCTATCTTAGTATTTTTGAGTATGGGTATATCAGATTTTCCTACCTTTGTATTTTTGAGTACAAGTATATCAGATTTATTGTTCCTGATTAAGAACTGTAGGTGGAGTCCGATCGTGATCTCGCCTCCCAGAATGGTGTGAAGCTTCTTCATCCTGTCCGCTAAAGCCTTCTCCTCTTCAGTCTGATATAAATAATGAAAAACAGTACAGAATTATTTTTCTTTTGACCAGTTCCATACCACAGATTTTTATAATCCACCACATCATTTATATGATGGGCAGCTTGCAAATTCATATACATATTTTTCATGATTGGAAAACTTGAACTTGACAAGCATACACTGTACATATATGTAACATAGGCTTGATTTTTTTTTTACCAATCTTATATGATAAAATAGGCGTCAGTTTGTGATAGTTTTACCGTATTTACAAATTCGTTGAGTGTGGATTGAAATTTTGCCTTCTTAAGACATTATAACTGTGATTAAAATCTACCCTGTGATTCTGAGGGTACAGTTTTGGATGGGATGGGGGTAGTATAATCTGACCTGTGGTTTTGATGGGGGGACAGCTGGGGTCTGTGAGGGTGTGGTATCAGATGCTTCTGTGTCCATTCTAAAGCAAAAAAAAAATGTATGTAAAGCAAGTTAACGATCTTTTTTTTAGACATGTTGAATCAAAGAACATAATACTGTAGATCACTAAATTTTCGCGACACCTTATTTTTGCGAGATAATCATTGACTCTTGATTAGCGAGACAAAATTTTCGCGAATTGTGGTCATTGCTCTATATAATCTTAAGGAATACTATTAAACGCGATAATTAAATTTTTGCGAGCACATTGTCTCGCGTAATTAAGCGAAAATAAAGTTCTCATGAATAAAAAGTGATTTACAGTATTACTTTGCTTAACAAAAACCAAGCCTCAGCATAGTTCTATAACAAACAATAAAATTTTTTGCTATGGTGCCCAAAGCACTGAAGGGTTAACACTAACTTTTCCTTTGCTTCATCCTGGCTTGTCTCCTCCTTTCCGTCACCCGATTTTTTGGGGTCGGTTTCGGGGAGGGGGACAGTTGACCTGAGGGCATTCTGTACCCGCAGCAGAAACTGTTGTGTGGCACTGTCATACATGTCAAAAGCAATCTGGTAGGCCATCAGTACATTGTCCTGAACATTGTAAAAGAAAGGAATTAGTCACACATGTCAAAGGCAATCTGGTAGGCCATTACACATTGTCCTGAACATTGTAAAAGAAAGGAATTAATTATTTGAATGAACGAAATATGACATATAGTCAATAAAATACTACATGTAGTATGTTCAAGACAAACAAAATGGCCTATCCATATGAACCCTAGCTTAGCCATACCTCTGTTCCCTTCAGTAGTTTTTCCAATATGTCAGCCACGGCCTGGGCATCATCCAGAAAAATGTAGCACTGAAATAAGAACATGATGGAAATAAGCAATTAAAAATTCAAACATAGACCAAAATAACAGTAATTTCCTAATACATGTACAGTGGACTTTCAGATATCCAGATGCCAGATATCCAGATGCTTCAGTATCTGGACGATTTTTCATTGGAACGGAATTTTTAAACTTTATTCTGTCCTGTTTAACTGGAGATTCAAGTATCCGGACGCTTCGCATATCTGGACAAATTGACTGGGAACCAAAGCGTCCAGATAAATGAGGCTCCATTGTACTCTAATAGAAATTTAGAGGCTATCATTCTTTTATGACTTATGGGCAAGACTACAGAGGGCTGACATACAAAAGTAATACATACTATGACATGACATACACTGATGACATACTGCTCTTCAGGAATTGGTGTGAGTTGTTATGGAACTGGAGTATAGCACAAGTGAGAGGGGATGGGGATATAAAAAGAGGTAAGAGTACAAGTGGAAGGATTGGGGATACAAGAAGGGCTGTGAGAGTGGGACTACAAGTGAGGGGGGGATAAATCAAAAAGTGTGGGGCACAAGTGAAAGGGTTGGGGAAACAAGAAGGGCCATGAGAGTGGGGCTATAAGTGACGGGGTGGGGACTTACCTGACACACGTTGATGTAGTCGGGAGTCTCCAGCCCCATGTATAGTTTAGTTAGCAGCAGGAGAACTGTGTTCCTGAAGTGACGGTTTGGAATCAAGGACATACAGACATTTAGGCTGTACAGTAACATAGCATTTACGTCTTCCTGTAAAGAGAGGAGGTAGGTAATGAAAGTACAGTAAAAACTAGTGCTAATTGTAACGGGGACCGTTACAGATGTTCCCCAAACGCTCCCCAACTCCCTTTTTGTGCCATATTCCCTGTAAGCATTAAATAAGACAAACTCTATGCATTTGAGACTTTAACAACGTTTACCCAGGAGTAAACCAAGTTCATTCAAATTTTAGCATTGCACGCGTGCGCATGTGAATGCTTGTGCGTAATGATCATATCGTCTTGTATACACAGTCTATATAATTTAATATACTAAATATTAAAGTATTTAATCCAAAAGTATTAAAAAATAGGCTCATTCAAGTGTATTTTTGATTTTACTCATTTCACGTGCACGCACGCACATATACATGTATGAGCATGGTGACCATACCTTCTTCTAGAAGTCCATTACATCTATCTATGTTCTAAATCCCACCCCGTTTAGTTGAAAACTAAGGGAGTTATAGCTGTTTAAAGTTTCAGCCAATCAGATTGCAGCGCACGTACATGCATGTGTATGCATGTGCATGGTAACCATACCTTCTTGTAGAAGTCCATTACATCTATTTATGTTCCAAATCCCATCCTGTTTGGTTGAAAACCAAGGGAGTTACATCTCTTTAAATTTTAAGCCAATCAGATTGCAGCGCACGTGCATGCACGTGTTTTCGTGATAATTGCTATATATCATGTTGTAGGATATCCTAATGCATGGCTATGTTCAAAATTTCAAAGGATTTTGTAAAAAAACAAGAAAGATATTGAGACTTTAATTTCAGCCAATCAGAGCGAAGCGCACGTGCATGCGCGTGAGATCTTGCTATTTTGACTACGTCATATTATCTATGCTACTAATACATCCTTATATTATGAGTTTCAAAGCATTTCATCAAAAATGTAAAAAGTTACGCCTATATCAATTAAATCGGTCATTTCACGTGTTGAACGTGCACGCTCTTGCAAGCATGTGCGCGCAAAATGACCTTCGTTACGCAAATCTTCATAACATGCCTACTGACCATAAAAAGGTTTTACCTTAGTCGGATGTGTAGTTTACAAGATCATTCCCGGACAAAAAAGTACCCAGGAAGAAGAAGAAGAAGAAAAATAATAATAACTAGAATCTTGTTGCCATGGCAACAAATAAGTCTTCCGTTCTTCTAAATCTAAATCTGTAAGAATTTACTTTTTTCTCTGCAAAAAACATAGATATCATATGTACTCTGAAAGAAAAAAAACTGCAAAAAGGTCTTTCAGTACTTAAGGTACTTTGATTTTCATGACCAATCTTGTTCTTATGCATTTTGGCACTCATAAGAGCTACACGTGTATCATAGACAAACCAACGGACGAACGAACACCGTACTCTCATAAACTTCACTGTGTTTATGTTCTGGCACAATTGTGATGGTGTTATAAAAATGTCATGAACTAAGTTAGTACCACATTAAACGTAAAGTCGTTGATTTTTACAGTAATACTATCGAGATTTGTCAGCAGAAAGATTATTCAACTACAGGAATAATTCAGCAATTGATTAATTGATTATATGTTGTTTATGTCCCTCTCGAGAATTTTTCACATGGAGAAGCCTCCACTCGCCGGTGGAGACTGCAAAATGTTGTCCTATAATTTGGCTCTAATCGCCATTGAGCATTGAGGAATCTTTTTGAGTCAGTACCATCTGACACACGGGACCTCGATTTAAACGTCTCATCTGACGGACCGGTCTCCACGTCCCACAACTGAAGTCCATAATACAGATATATGATGCTCTAGCCATGTTTTTATTTTATTTCTCATTTCTCAAATTTGTTGCATCAGATTTTCTTAAAGATCATACTTAATAAAAATCATTTCGAACAACTTTATTACAATGCATACAGTGTCCGGTGATTTTGATTGACAGGTCAGTATATGTGCACTTAGTGTAATACTTCTTAAGCAGAAAATATACAGAGAGTGACTATGACGGACTATGAAATCAGAAAATATTTAATAAAGAATGGGTACAACTGATATAGAACTGATTTTTTGTCTATGAAAATGATAGGATAATCAGGATTAAATGGGAATCTCTCTCTCTCTCTCTCTCTCTCTCTCAGACATGTAAATTTCAGTATCTTGCGTAATGAAAAATCTACTATTATAGAATATGAATTCTGTATACATGTTAATGGTAATTATAACCAAATGTTCCAGATTTAATTGTATAACGAATTTATAATTCAAAGACTTATAGTTGCAATAATGTCTCCGAATAAAATCAAGGGGGGGGAGGGCTTCAAAAGAATTACATACTCGTTAATTTTATGTTTTATGAATTAAAAGGAAAATACTTAAGGTTGCATGTACATACATATAATTATATATCATTGCATAAATTTGTGTTCATTCGTATACTTTATCTAACATATCAACAGACCTTTGCAGATGATTTTGTATCATGTTTTTAGCGTAGCATTATTTCACACAGAAACGCGTAACTTTCACATAATGTTAACCCTTTGAGTACTAGTATTTCACAAAAATCCAAGAATTGCTTTTTCTCATCTTTAATAACCTCTCGGTTATATAAAAGTATAGATCATGTATAATAAATAACACTATAAGACTTTTAATCAATGAAATATACGTGTTAAAACCAAATCCAATCTAAAGATCGATTTTCTTTCTTTTAAGTTGCAGATATCAATTTATTTCTAAAGGCTCTACACCTGCTCTTCTTTCTCTCAGTCCCCTTTTGAGTACATATAATATTTTAGAATCGAAAATAAAACTCGGATTCCGGGATAATTTCGCATTCAAATTAGAGAATGAATTAAGAATATTTTTTTAAATATAATCATAACAGACATTACAGATTTACACTACGCTGACAACTTTAAACTATGCATATACTGAAAGCAGTAACCAAAGTAATCTTTCATGCAGAAGTGGATATGGAAACTCAAAGTCTAATTATTTTTTTTATGTGAAAAGTGTGGATATAGACGTCTGCGACGTCATGGATACTACCTTTATCTCGAAAGTTCTATTCCCATTTACAAGTCAGAGTTATCTATCTTTGCTCATTGTCACTACGTAAATAGAGAAAATGAATTTATTGACGGAACCTTAAATCTCCAAAATGCAGAATCCGATTGAATAAATGATATGTTTAGTATTTTTGTAGAATAATTTGTATATACATCGCTGTAATGTATACTGCGCACAATATTATTTTCTTCAAAGTGCTTAGTTGACACAGAACGGATTTTTTTTTAGATATAAATTTGTAAATCAAAAACTTTCAATGTACAGACTAACACTACACAGCCAAATTTAAACTAATATGCATATAGTGAATTAAGTAACATGCAAAAGAGAGAATATTGAATGTGTAAATATGTTGATCTGGAGAGCGTATATATGTCCCTAACGTCTTCAATAATATTTCCGCTTTTATCTCGAAAGTTCTATTCTCATTCACAGGTCAGAGTTATCTTTCTTTGCCCACCTTATACATACTACGTAAATAGAGAAAATTTCGGTACCGAAAATATACAAAATGCGGAATCTGATTTAAAAACAAATTATATATTTAGTATTTGTAGAAAAATGTCTGTTTTACATAAGAATATCTTGAAAAAATATCTAAAAACAAAAAAATCAAAAATTGACCAAAAACAAATTCACTTCCGGTTCGGACAGGAAGTACTGGAAACACACAAAAACAACTTCAAAACAAATAGAATATCATGATCTAATACTCCTGTAAATTTCATATCTTTACCTCAAACCGTTTCCGAGAAAACTGCCGGACAAAAGTCCATTTTAAAATTCGAAAATCGGCCATAACTTCGGACCGGAAGTGAATTTTTCAAAAAACGGAATTTTATATAAACTTCATATATCAACCAACTTACATGAGAAAAATTGTGAAAATCTATCCAGCCATCTCTGAGTAATCGCGCTCACAAAATTTGGGAGGAATAATAATAATAATAATAATAATAATAATAAAAAGAAACAATACAAACACTATAAGTCTTCCGTTGTGAACGGAAGACTTAACTAGAGCAAAGCTCGTTGCAAAGCAACGAGTAGGTCTTCCGTCCTGTTTGACCGGAAGCAACTCATTTTTTACACAAAAGAGTAATAATGCCCCAAAATGGTTTAAATCCTCTAAATCCATGTTAATTCATGCAAATATAAGCCATTTTTTGCTACTTCCGGTTTGACCGGAAGTGACGATGACGGATAGAAAATTGAATGTTATGCTCCCATTGACAGATGTTATACAAAACTTGTCAAGAACGGCAAAAATATGCATTTTCTGACTACTTCCGGTTTGACCGGAAGTGACGTCGCCGGACATATTTTAACGACGCCACTGGATTAAGCTTGACATTTTGAACATCTTTGCTTCTTTGATATATTACAAATTCTCAATACTTTTTGAGATATAAAGGAAAAACTTTCGGCCCCTGTAGGTCCTTCATTTTAGGGGCCAGCCCTTTTTTTGAGGTATCATTTGAAAGATCGTGTAATTCTACACTTCTTTTGTTCTACATGTCTTAACAAAATATTTCTAGGTAAAAAGTTATCGTAGAAAAGGTGTTAAAAATTTTGAAATTCTTGATAGGACTATTTTCGGGCCATAGCGAGCGTCGGCGCTTCGTACTTCCGGTAGTTGTGATATGCAAAAGGCACTTCTCCAAAGATTGCTCTAGCATCCCTGAAAATTTCACACTTCTATCTTCAATGGTTTTTGAGAACATTGCCGGACAAAGTGACCCTCTAAAAATGACAAAATCGCAGAAATCTCCGAACCGGAAGTGACGTCATCAAAGCAAAAAAATATATACCTAGATTTTTTGATGTTCTATCAGTCCTGAAAGTTTCATGAAAATCGATCAAGCTGTTTTCGAGAACTCGCGTGCACAAAATATGTAAGAAAAAAAATAATAAAAACTGTGGAAAAGAAACCTAAGAATAACAGAAAGGTCTTCCGCTGAAGACGGAAGACCTTAATAAGAAACAGAGTAAAAACAATATGTTCCCCAACTTCGTTTGGGGAACATAAAAATGAATATAAGGAAGTATCAGGGATGAATAATTTTGATTCATTAGGTTATACAAAGTATCTACAGTAAGGCACACTTATAAAGATGAGTTAAAGATCTGATTTCTGATAAAATTGATTCATTAGATCCGACATGTTCAAAATAATACCATTTAAAACTACCGGGAAAAAAATCATTTCACTTAAAGCATGAATTTGTTTTGATCATTTTTGCCATAACTTTGCTTTACAGTGAATATGATTGTGGCTGTAAAAAAATTATTCTCAAAATTGTAAATATTTACAATATCAAATACTGGTATTCTTAATTCATAAAAACGATATTTAATAATTTTTCTGTGGTATAATTATGTGCCTTATTTGTTGGCATAATGACATAGAGCCAAATATATATGTTACATACACTTTCTAAGATGGCTTTCTCAAAGATATCAATTCTTCTGGTTTCCAGTGATATCCCTACGGCCTGCAAGAAAATAGAAGTGAAGTCAACTGGATTTATCGTCTAAGTATTTTAAGGTTCATAAACCCTCTGCTCACTCATATAAAATGTTGCTTGAACCTTGATGATTTTCCAAAAGAAATGTATTTTATAATAGAAAATCGATAAATATAGCATAGCTTGCGGGGCAAAATTGGACAAAAAAGACTCTTCAACTTGGCAAATCTATAAAGAAACAATAAACATTTATATCATCAGGGCTCTCACACCACTTTTTGGGACTGGGGCCGGGGCCGTTCAAATTGGGAAAATTATCGTCATTTTGGGAAAAATTGGATAACACAGATTCATTAAAAAAAATCCTCAAATTTTGCTTTTCTAGCATTTTATCATCAATGCTAGCTCTGGTTTGAATAAACAGTTAAACAGAACAAACATGGGTACGTAGGCTATTTATGAAAGTACATTAGCTTTGTCATTACTATCTTTGAGTGTTGATATTGCGGTTATATGTCTTGCTGCGTGACAGTCGCTAGTCACATAGTCCCGAATTTCCTCGATCACATGGGCAACTTTGCTTACCAATACAGCGCGAGACTGAACATGCCGAAGCGCGGGTATGTTTCTAGGTGCAGCTTACTAATGTTTAAATGAAATGTCTATTTTTGAAACCAAAATGCTGGTTTTTGTCGAAACTACATAACAAGATACTCTGCACTCATAGTTGTATATATTTTTGTAAAAACAATAACCTGGTTCCCCGAACCAGTTTACGAATGCATTTGGCGCGAACTAATAAAATAGTAGTACAGTTTCACTTTCATTTGCAAATGTGTTTTGTTTGGGTTTTTTTTGCGATTAGGTTTGATGGGCTTTTATTTTTTAATTAATATTTTACTCTGGATGGAAATTGGGAAATTTACACCTTTCTTTTGGGAAAAAAGGTACCTTTTTTGCATTGGGAACGGGGCCGTTGAACGGCGCCAATTTTAGAGAATCGAGAGCCCTGATCATTAAGAGTTATCTCTCTTATCAGAGTATCAATGACCCTTAAGCAAGAAGAGGTATAATGTGTTGCAAGTAAAACATGCTTATAATAAAGTGCCAGGGATGAGTGATTTTACTTTGTTATAAACATAATTCATATCTGTTAGATTCACAATGAGTTTAAAACAGAAATAAAAAAATATTTCAATTTAAGAATCAATTTATTATCAGCATGGTTGCTTTTAGCATGTTTTACTGCATTTACCTCTAGAAATGATTCAATAGTAATCTAGAGAACTGGTCTTTGGGAAGTTGATTCAAAATTTTGCATTCCAATTAAATCTGAACTGTATTTAACCTGTTTGTACTGTTTGTCATCGAAGCACCTCTGAAACATTCTGTTGATGATGGCTGTACTATATTTTACCTGTTTATACTGCTTGTCATCGAAGCACCTCAGAAACATTCTGTTGACGATGGCCTCCAGTCGAGGATCAATCTCCTTCTTCTGTTCCTCCCTGCCATCACTGTTTTTGACTCGCTGCTTTGTGTAGAAGTCTATACACTTGGCTATTAAAAATAGTTAAAGTAACATGGTATTAGAAGCATATTTTACATGTATTTCTACTTTATATGATCATATTCTTGGTAGTTTTCAACATATTGGGTGAACAATAAAATTTTGTATCTTCAAAATGGGCCCATATCTTAAAATGTAAAATTTACATGGCATTTTTAGTAAATTAAGAAAAAATTAAATGCAAATCATGAATTAAACATATACTGCACTTCGTGTTTAAAATGTACTGGTTTGTTAGTGGAATTTGCCTTAAAGTCACCTATGATAGTTTCCACATATTCAGATGTGTCATTGACATTGAAGAGGGAGCCAGCACCCAGGGCAAAGGTCAAGGATTCTTCAAAAGCTCCCAAATGATAATAAACCTGAAAATGGAAAATAATAATAAAGTAATTTTACCACTTGTGATATTCTGAGTTTTACACATTTTTAAAATGAAATCATAAACAATTAAACAATATTTAAAATAAAACACTCTTTTAAAAGTTTATTGTTAAAAAAAAAAGAAAATTTTTCATAGAAGTATAGAATTATTTGCTTCGATCATCACACATGTACCATCCCAAAGCTCCCAGGCAGAATTGCTTAGACAATTTTTATCTATAATATTTTTACTTTATCATGTAAGTCTTTTATTCCCAAGTTATATTATTTTTTGTGCATACCTTGGAGGCTACCAGGGCTGCGAGTTCACTGTTCTTGAATGCAGCATCTTCATATAACACTTCTCTACAGAAACAAAATTTTCATTAATAAAAAAGAAAATATCTCTTCATTTATTTATCTGTGAGAATGTACCAATCTCCATGTCCTACTTACATTTTGTCCACATTTTCAGATATTTCTGCCCAAAATACATCTACAATGCTGTTTAGTTTTTCTAGGGCAAAAGCCTATAACAAGAACAAATCCATATACATGTACATATAAATAAATATGAGTAGTTGACATAGACATCATGTAAATTATAAAAATTAACTATTTTCAACTTTGTCAAGAGCTAGAAGAGTTACTGTATACAGGTTTATTTTCACCCCTTGTTATTTTCGCCCATTTGCACTTGCAATCAATTTTGTCCTGTTTTAAATTCACCCAGTCATAGTTCTGTTAAAAAAATTATGCTGTACGTGTAAAACAGTGTTCTTTGAATTTGCCCCTTTTTAAATTTGCCCAACCACGAAAAGGGTGAAAGGGACGAAAATAAAACAGGGGCAAAAATTTCTCTGTATACAGTATTTCCATTTTTAATTATTGGTCAATCTGAGTTCAACTGACATTTTCCAATAAAATACTAGAAACTTTTAGGGGCAGTGTCTTAAAAATTGTGTTTGTATACATGAATAAAGTATACATGCATATAATTATTCCCTTTTCTTTGAGGCCTCATACTATAAAACTGGTATATAACTGTCCAAAAGTATTTGAAAGTTTAAAATATTCACAGATATTTAACAAAGGATACAGTGGGCAAAAGAGTGCTTTGCTGACAAAGAGAGATAACTCACTGTGTGATCATTTTTTTTGGGGGGGGGAGGGGGTATTTTATCAATTTCTCAGTTTCAAATTCCTAATTATGAGCAAAACTGCAAATAACTTTTATATTTCATGTTACAAAATAATTTTTCCACACTTCTCTACATTTAAAAAAAGAACACTTACCTTTAACTGTGGTTCAGGCTCATCCAAAAGAGAAATCACTCCAGCTGAAATAAAATTATTCAAAACATGATAATAAAAGGAAAATTATCGAACTTTCCAAGTCTTTAGATTATCACAAATCTGAGCAGTAAAATCAACTTATAGGATCCCTAAACGCTGAAATCAGGTAAGTATGCCAGAACTGTACATTTCTTTTCTCAAAACAGCTAGGGGAGTGCTCTTTTAAATTTAAGAAATAAATATACACTATAGGGTTGAAATAGTTTACTGTAGAATGAATTTGCAGAGGCAATTTTCTGGTGATAACATATAACAATATTGGATTTGTTCCCTTTTTTTCAAAATGAATCGTATTCAGAATAACCATACTGAGACAAAATTTAACAATATTCATCGCATTATGAAGGAAATGTATCGTTTCATCCATAATAAACATGACTCACTTTCATCAATAAGAACCCTGATTAGATAATTAAGGTACAATCACTACAGTACACTACTACACTTTGCTATACAGTTTGAACAGAGATCTTATTGGAGTGGATCAAAGATCTTCTCTTAATATTAGATTGTTGCTTGACTAATGTACTTTAGTGCACTATCTTGAGTGCATTTTGGCATGCAAGGATAAGTATGAACAGGTCCAGTCCAAAGACTATTTCTACCTACGTAGCTATTAATAGCTACCTAGGTATTTAACCCTACCCAAAGTAGCTATTTTTACCTACTTTTTATATTTTCTGCAATTTGCGGCCAAAAGGCCAAACGGCGCAGCATGGTGAATACAATATTTTTTGATACAGTCACACTAATGATGAATACTACAAAATATTGGCAAAAAAATTATTTCTTTCTGAATCGGCAATTTTACATTAGTTTCTATGCAAAATTGATAATATATGAAGTAATCATTTTTTGGACAAATTTTTGTCATATCCATCATCAATGTGACTGTATTAAGAAATCTTGTGCTCACCATGTTGCACCGTTCCTGCATTTGGCCACAAAATGCAAGTAAAGCAGAAAGTAGGTAAAAATAGCTACTTTGGGTTGGTAGCTATTAATAGCTACATAGGCAGAAATAATCTTTGGACTGGACCTGATGAACACAGGTCCAGCACAACACCCCGATAAAGGTATATAGCTTGATAAAGCTATATAGCTTTATCAAGGTATATTTAAAATACCTTGATCAAGGTATTTTATGTAATGAAAATTCAAAAAAAATTCTTTAAAAATTAAATACTGAAAGTCAAGTTCTGAGTTTTTGTCAGTGTGTCTACTCGTGCATGAAAAACACTCTGGTATCAAAAAGAAAGCATAAAATAACGACTCCTCACACGACACGTTTTTGTACTGATTTGTTTGTGTTTTGAGTACTTTACATGCATGGGTGAATTTACTGACAACAACTCAGAACTCGACTTTCAGTAATTAATTTTTAAATAATTTTTTTGAATTTTCATTACATAAAATACCTTGATCAAGGTATTTTAAATACCTTGATAAAGCTATATAGCTTTATCAAGCTATATACCTTTATCGGGGTATTGTGCTGGACCTGGAAAACTCCACATTGCCCTGAACAATTACCAATCAATTATCATTTGAAACAAAACTGTTCTTCATTGTTTTATCATATAAGAGATAAGTGTTTCAGTTTGGTCAAAAAATAACTGTAGCCTCAGAACTTTTAGAATGTTTATAGCATAATTGTTCTGAAAGAGTGAGAAATTAAACTAAATGAAGATTTCCCCAAAATTGTTTTCACATCAGTTACATAAAAGCTTATAACTATTACTACAATAATGTTTCATTTTTAACATATTCTGATTGTACCAGACCTAGATATTTACGCTTCATATAAAATTTCTGTATGACTCTGTCGTCCGCCTCCACGGCGGTTTCGAATATTGGTGAAAGAGTACATAAGTAACAAATTCATACCTGCAGAAGTGATATTCATCTTCATTATTAAATCTCTACGACGTATCTCAACAAGAATCACTTAAAGTTTCTAAATAAATACCCGGCTTTTTCAAAACAATACAAAATCATGAAAATGTGATGTTTCATACACCAACGGAAGTAACTAATTTTGTGGAATCCGATCCCGATGCCTAAAAGGTCATCACATATAATATAGAGTAAAATATCTTTTATACTGATATCTAATTAACTTAAATAAGTTTACGTCATAGACATCACTGATTCGAGACTATTACACTAGATATAGATTAGCTATTAGTCAGTTGTGGTAAATCTAGATTCAAACAAACTAACTCATAGAATCTTTAGAAGCCCCCCCTTCCTCAGTGGCTTAAAAGAAACAAGAAAAGCAGGGGGACGAAAGAGGGTACCCTAAATTAAGACGGCCGGGTGGTTCCATAGCGACTAGGGAGTTATGGTATAAAATTTCAATACAAAAGACTGAAAAGCTTCTTGAGTTATCGCCCGTAAATGAAAGTTTTACACGAATAGATAGCATGGTCCTGGTCCTCCCTTAGTAACAATTGAAAACATAATTGTCACTGAACAAGATGTTGCTGATCAATTAAACAATTTAAATGTAAACAAACCTCCAGGCCCAGATGGTATAACACCAAAAATTCTTAAATAATTATCCTCCTCTATTTGTAAACCACTTGTAAAACTTTTTGATAAGTCATTTAAATTGAAACGTTTTTACTAAATGTGTGGAAGCAAGCTAATATTACCCCAGTTTTTAAGGGTAAAGGTAGGCTGTGTTCCCATTTTTTCACCTTAACTGTGAAATTCAGGTGCGAAAAAGTTAAAAAGTACTAAGGCGAAATGGGAATTTTAGTATTTGTAAATATTATTGATTGGTTGATATAAAAAATTAAATGATAATTTTTAAAAAATTAAATTTAACAGTTAATGGGAATTTATGAATACAGTGAATGAAATAATACATGTAATACCAAGTATTTAAAAAAAATACTTAATGCTAAATATTTTAAATCTTCATCATTTTAATTCACCTGAGAGCTTTCTAAGGCGAAATGGGAATGCTAAATTTTACAGTTAAGAAGGCGAGATGGGAACAAACCAAAGGTAGTCCTGACTTAGTTAATAACTACAAGCCCATTTCACTAACAATAATTATATTGCTGTTTGCAAAATTATAGAAAAATCCTCTTTAAATATTTGTACAATTCTATATTAGAAAACAATACCTTAAGATTTTTGTTTTTACAATGTACCTGTAGACTTTTGCAACAGTAATAACATTGTTAATAATCAATACAATGCAATAGCGTACACAATTTGCAAAATTAAAAGAAAATTTATTCAAAATTAATAACAGTTCTATTTGATTTATTGACTTTGTATATATTAGAATTCTCTTCCTTTGGTTGATAATTCATAGCAATTTCAAGTTGTGAAGAAATACCTCGATGATATGCTGATATATAAGTGCAAAAAGATAAAATAAAATTCATCAAAGAAAGGGCTTAAATCAAGTGTATTCTGGTCTAAGTTTCAGATAAAAAAAGTGTTTGCTTGCCATAGACATTTTCTTTGAAGCTGAAAGATACCCATGAATGTCATCTGATCAGTCAATATAGTAATACATTCATATTTTCTTAGCAATTATAAATCAAAATTAACATGACTATTTAACAAAATTAAGACATTTTAATCCTGTATACAATTCAATCCTTTACAATGCTTATATAAATCAAAGTACTCAGAAGTACAGAGAGCCGGGCTCATTTACAGAGTAGAATGGATTTCTTACATGAATCACGTTTATATTCTGATGAAAAAATTATTTTAAAACTATCAATATAAATGATAAGACACTGACAGTGAGTTTTTCAATCCTAATACCACGGTCCGATTTTGTCAGAATCAGAATTAATCTGGTACCGCAGCTGAATGTAAACAAACAGGCCAGACTGGTTCCCTCTCCTGCTTTACCTCGTATGTGTAGAGAACTACTGTAACACTGATTATCAAAAATCCTTACGCTAATGAACTATGTTCTTTGGCTTATGAAGTTTTCAAAGTCATTACTACTAATGTTTATTTTATATAGATAAAACTTCGTTTTATTTTTGTTGCTTTATTTAGCGTTTGTATTATCTCAAAAGCGGTTGAGGGTAAGAACTATATTTTTGCATGTAACTTTAAAATGGCGACTATAGGGTCAACATCCTGCCTTGAACAGGATCACATAAGCCGGCAATTGCTCTTTGAGCAATAAGCCCGGCTAAAAATGGAAATTTCCTGTTTGTCATCTCCCTCGGGAGATAACACATTAAGATTGTATGCCGGAAGTGAAGTCCTAGTGTAAGCCTCCATTAATCTTTCGGGAGTCCTCGATCTTTTACAGAGTTCAAAGTAGCCTGTAAACTGGTTTTCTTTTAGGAGAACTAGCTTAGGAGTGTGTGATCTACTTTCGGTTTAGGCCTATATTGAAAGCCAGGGAAATGAAGTCCTAGTGTAAGCCTCCATTAATCTTTCGGGAGTCCTCGATCTTTTACAGAGTTCAAAGTAGCCTGTAAACTGGTTTTCTTTTAGAAGAACTAGCTTAGGAGTGTGTGATCTACTTTCGGTTTAGGCCTATATTGAAAGCCAGGGAAAATTGAGAAAAGAAGTACGATGCTTATAAATATCTATAGTTTCGGTGTGTCGTATATATATTGATCCTCAATACTATGCCTTCTTAAATTGGTAAGCCACACAAGGAGAATTGACAATGACGTGATTTCTATATATAGATTTGTTGACGCGAAGGGAAAACTGGTTCTCGCACAAAAGAACAAGCTTACAATTAGATTCTGCAAAAAATGAATGAAGAGTGGACAACGCTAATTTTATGTTAATTATTTAATTCCTGTAAAACTTTAATGATTAGCTGCTTTTTTAAATGAATGATGATTATTGTTGATAATTCCGTATTGTGTTAAGAAAATATAGTTCAAGGAAAGTATTTGAATTTAAGTATAAAACTGTAAACACCCAGAAGCACAAATACCGCTAGAATGAAATTTCACCAAAAATCGCCTTGGGTGCTCTCGCAGACGTCCATGCTTTCCATATATATACTGCGGCCAAAAGAAACTGCGTACTTTACTGTGGAGTTTGCTGAATAAGTCATTTGGGAACTTCAGGTGTCATATTCCATATATTCATTGCATTAAAATATTTCCCTTCTGTTTTATTTCTTTGACATTATTGATACCAAACAGATGACATTTCAGGCTTTCTGGAAAGCCAAACTTGTTGAAATACTTTACTTTGTTTTACGGTTTCCTCATAAAACAAAAACTCATGACGTAAACAATTTTTATTTCACTGTTAGTGTTAAATAAATAAAATGCAATTAAATTTGCCTAGAACATTTTTTTTCGCATTTGACATGAAATAAAATACGTTAATTGTCTCGTTTCCTGATCACCCACTTTTTTCCACCAAACTGAAGTATAAATATTTAATTTTTACAAATTGAGTGAAATGATGTATAGGCTACAGCCTAGCTTTTTGTCTTGTCTTTTGTTTTTACCACTGGCAACGTACATGTAGTTAGAACTTTATCGTCCTTTCCCCTGCAGCTGAAGAGGTCCAATACCTTAGGAACTGTGTGCTATATAAAAAGTTTATATACATGTAGGTTGCTGTACACTTCTTCTAAAACAAGTTTTGATGAACAAAAGATCTTGAATATGTGTTTATTAGTAATTTTTGTATATTTTTCTTTGAATTATTAAAGAATTTTCATAAATTTATAACTGTTCAAAACCTCTGGTTATGAATGCTGAATTTTGTCTATGAACATCTGATGGTACTAAAATCCTTAATTAAGACTAGAGGTACTGTGAGCAATGAGCTCACTAAATGATACCCCCGCCTCCCATATGGTTATAACTGATGACAAAGTCCATGTTTTGCTGTGGCCGGGAAACCCAAAATATGTGTCGGATCAAAAAGTAAAATAGGAGGTGCACAATGGCAATATTAGCTGCAGAACTGTAGCTCTGTGCTTGAGAAAATTCGGACAGATAAAGCAGAGAGCTACAGATCCATGCGTTGTAAAAACCTTCGAATTACGCCGACGATTTTTTGTCGCTCACTTCGGGTATTTATTTCTTGTATTATATACTTTCCCTAGCTTTAAAAATAGCATTTATTAATAAATCAAACATTTAACTTCAATTCCTGGTAATTTACTCACCCTTCACTTGTGTTTCAAAGATAACAAAATTAAGGCCGTTTGTGGTTACGGACGTCGAAATGGGACTCTTTTAAACCGACATTACAAAACTATATTAATACAGGACTGTTTCAGACCGTTAAAAGGTAAATAAAGTATCAGAAATAAGAGTTTAATATCTGATTAATTATATGATACAATTCTAAAAGCTAGGGAAAGTATAAAATACAAAATATAATACCTATAGTAGAGACAAAAAATCGTCGGCGTAAATCGGAGGTTTTGACAACGCTTGGATCTGTAGCTCTCTGCTTTATATGTCCGAATTTTCTCAAGCAGAGAGCTACAGTTCTGCAGCTATGGCAATATGTAATAAAGATTCTGTGAAAGTTTCATTGAATTTCACTCAGTGGTATAAGAGGAGTTGCGGATAAGAGATGGGTACCCTAAAGCGTAACAGACAGACGGACATACCGATACAGTATACCCTCCCACTTTTCAAGCGGGGGTATGATATCTTGAAAAAATATTAGTAGGTACGTTGCGTATGTCCTTAAAAGGCAACTGTATGCTACAGAAACTGTTCTGTAATATAATGCTTTGTTGTTACCAATTTTTCACTTTGCGTGCCTGCACCGTTTCTAATTCAATGAAAACTGCTAGAATTTTTTTCTTTATTTCTGCGTTTCTAAGCACTAAGATCTGAGTAATTTTCTTCTTATTAAAAAGGATTATGTTGTGATGTACCATATAACAAATAGTTTATCATGTAATTAGCTAACATTGCTGAAAAAAAAAAACACGAAGTTTGTGAGCCGATGCTCACAAGTAATACCCCGCTCTGATGTGAATTACATGTAACACTATCATGTTAATAAACATAAGTTCAGTTACAGGTAGATGCATGGATAAATAGGACATACCTCAACAAAGAGTGTGATAAAATTTCAAGCATCTGTAATGAGCAGTTGCTGAGAAAACTGCTACAATAAGTATTGTAATGTGTGGGACGTACAGACGCATGGACAAACAGGAAGTTAACATCGGATTTGAACAAAAATGAATCCCATCAAATAGCATGCCTAACGAAGGAGTGTGCTAAGATTTTGAGTATCTGAGATGAGTACACTTAACAAAACTTCTACGTGTTCACTCTAATAAATGTATTTACATGTATTTAAAAAAAACTATGATAGAATGGTGTGATATTTTCAGATTATCACAACCAGTCTTCTCAACAATAATATTGTTGAGAGAAAAATTAAATAAAATCTTATTGATGATAACCAATGTCCTGTGACGAAGCTTAAAAACAATAAATCTGTTCTGTGTGGCACCTGTTTTGTGTAATTAGTATCTTTTTGTGACCATGATCGATTTTTGAAAACTGAATTAACTAAAAAAAACACAAAACACTCGCAAACGTTTTACTCACTTTTATTTTAGTGTTTTTTTTTTTGTCCTTGATATAATTATTTTTAAAAATAACAATCAGTGTCAAAACCCATTTAATCACATTTTCCCATACGATGTGTGTCATTTTCATCGCCAACTTACAACAATTTAAAAGCTTTGGACAAAATATAACCAAACCGGAAGTGATCTGGATCTAATTCGTTTGAGGCCAAGTTTCATAGAGTGTTACATTGTCCAGAAACAATATTAGAAACCTTAAAACAAACAACTTCAATAGTTAGAAAATGAATCATGTAAAATAGGTGCTCATGGCCGTCCAATATCATATCAAACAGTCTGAATCATACTTAAAGCGGTACACTTTCGCGCTAAACCCCAATGATATTGACGAAAGGTCCGGCATATGTGTGATGATGCACTGACAAATCCCCGGATCTGAATCCCATTGCACACATTTGGGATTTTTATAAGGAATGTCAAAGCCCCCCCCCCCCCTCCTTCCAAACAATTTCAACGGTTTGGGGAGATCTATGCAGTAGGTGTGGCAGCAGATGGGTCAATCTCCCATTCAGGAGTACATGGTATCAAACAGTAAATGAATCTTGCAGTAATTACTCCAAAGAGGTTATTTTTTATGTGAATTTTCATTTTGAGGGTACAATTGACATGCCCTGAACACTTTGCTTACAATTCTGACGAGATACTTACATGTACATGAAATTTACGCAACATTGAACTGAAATATGTATCATTAACCATGATGTAAAGAAATTGTTTATTGTATGCTGTTATTGAAAAAATATTAGATGAACACTTAGAAGTTTGGTTCAGTGTAGTTGCTGAGAAAACTGCTACGGACATACGTAATAAACAGGAAATTCATATCGGCCGATTTGAACATAAATAAAGCCCACCATATGAATTTCAAGCATCTGCGATGATCGAGTATTTGCGTAGAAAACTGCTACCAAACTTTTTTTACAGACAGACGCACAGCTAGACAGACGGACAGACACACAAGGGTAAAACAGTATACCCCCTCTCTTTTAGAGCGGGGGTATAAAGACAGAGAGAGACATGAACATAAACAATAAAAAAAAAACATTGGAATAACATACTAGTATGTAACATATTTACTTGTTACAAAAATTGTATCCAGAATGTTCCAGAGAAATGAAACTGATACTGTGCATTGTGCGTTGTAACAGTGCATGTTATGTATATATAAAAGTACGATTTTATTCAATCTCTTGTATAGCTTACGTTATACCGTTTTCAGCTATTTTTCACAAATATAGTAAAACGTGTGATTGCATGGGTAGTCATGCCAATATCCACTTCTAACCATTGATACACAATTTTCGTTTATTCCAATTGTATCATTGTCTGGTTGATTAGAATACCAGTTTGTGTACGTCATATTCTTAGAAGAGTGTTCCCAGTAAAACGTGCCCTCCGAGTTTAAATCAGTACCCCCGATCCACCAAGAGTCCCCAGAGGCTGAAATAAAAATGTTAAGGTACAATCCTGCAATTTCATTGCAAGTACTTCACTGAGAGATAAGGAATTTATTTTTGCACATTTTTATATGCCTAAAGTTTTATATATTTTGGAGGAATATTATATTAGAAACAAAGTAAATGCGTTACATGTACACATACGGCCTTTTATTACAAAGAATTCCAATGCCCTTTAGTTGACTGATATCGAACATGTGTATAATAAAGATAAGTTAAATTTCCAATCGGTTGATTGTTTGTGATTGATTGACTTATTCGATATCATTTCCCTTCTATAAGGGTAAACCATAAAGGGTTGAAATGTTTCAAAATAAGATCGTTAATCGGAACTCGGGGCTTTTATTTTAGTTAAAATGTGTACCAAAGGGTTAGTTACGGAACTCTTTTCATAGGATACCTACTTTCGCCAATAAAGCTCTTTTAAATCAAATGTTTTACAATTTTACTTTCTATCCATATCTATTCATATATAAACAATCTTCATTACTACCAAAGTTCATTCCGCGTAATTCCGTATAATTCTCGAGATGTTCTGAAATCAATTCCAAAATTGACCTTAATTTTTTTACTCGACATCAGCTTGGGCCTTTGAAGAGCCCACTAAATAAATTGTAAAGCTGGAAGGACGGGAAGGTCCTGCCACTACAGAAGTCTCCTGGAACTTCCCTCACAGAAAAAGGTGAGGGAAGTTCCAGGAGACTTTTGTAGTGGCAGGACAAGAAGAAATTTGTGTGCGGGAGACACCCGTTGACCACAGTTAGTGGTTGTTCAATCAAGAAGAAACCCATTGTATTATTGTAATATAATTGTATATATTTGATTTGGTCAACAAAAATCTGAGTTAACAGGTTAACGAAACTAAGTGTAACGCCTCGGTGATACAAGCCATATCACCACACACCAAGCTCGGCCGCGTTGCACGTTGCAAAAATATGATATCACACATCTTCAATTTTGTCTATTGAATTTTGTTTGTTGAAATTTTACAGGACTGGTATGAACTCTGAGACGTGTTGTATGAAAATTAACCTGCAAAGATATGTCTTTTATAGGTGTTTTAGTTAGATTATGACTGATTCAACGTATTCAAATTAAAAAAAATTATCAGAAACATTTGAAAGTAAGGACCTTCCTTAAATAGAAAGTAAAATTTTAGAGCATTTGATTAAAAAAAATTATTAGCGAAATTGGGTACCCTGTGTAAGAGTTCCATACTTTTATCTTTTTTAAAGCAATCCAAAAGCCTGTGATTTGTCTAGGTAAATGAATTACTCCATTGCTATAGTATGCATCGTGGTTGAGGAATAAGAAAAATATGAACCTAGATGGAAAGATAATGAAGCTTAGTTACATATGTATATAAGGTATTGATTTATAATTCTTCATCATTAAACCTCCCCAGCTTCCAATCGCAGTTGAATGGACAACTTGATAATCTATTTTTTAAAGATTTTATTCTTTCCATCGAGTACTTGCATTTTCCCTTAACTGACAATGTTTGCAATTGGATAATAGGATTTACATTTATCCTTCTTCAAATTTTAGTTTCTTCATTTATTGTTTGAAACTCTTTATATAGCATTTATTTTCAATTATTTATTCATCAAAACATCCTTTTTTTCATAATTCTTTCTTATTTCCTTAATTGGTAAAACTCGGGTATATCAGTCAAAAGGCAGACTATAATTGTTATAAAAACATAATTCACATCTATTGCTCTACATGTATAAATATCAGATGAATGCAAAACGGGAGTACACCATCATGCCAACGCCTACCGGGACATGAGACCTCAGTTAATTAAGGTGTGATTCATTCGAAATATCCTTGACTATCTCTTCAAATAACAGGCGCTTGATGAGAGAATATGTTTCTGGCTATGTTTTTTAGGTTTAATTCAGCGCAGTGAACAATAATCAAACCATAACGTCCTGATTTCAAAGAGGACACATCAAAACACTTTTCACCTGACCGGCCATATCGGCTAGGAAAAAAAAATCATATTTCTGTTCAGTATTGAAAGATTAATGGAGGGTGGGGTGGCGGCATGCTTTAAATTTACATTAATTGAGGATGCTTCCATATAGATATGACTATGGCTTTGCCGTTCTGAAAAAAGGCATTTTCTAAAACTTTTTTTAAAATATAAATTCCTATGTAAAACTGATCGCCTTTTGTATACCAACCCTACCACCGGTGGTTATATGTTTTGAGACTACGCTACCTAAAGGTGCTTCGATATCAGTATGACTAATTCATAGATTTGATTTTCATGAGCAGAAGATTTATTTTAAAAACTTTCCCTATATACTTCAATTTCAAATCTTGTTCATCCATCGTTGACCTACTCTTCAAGATTTGAATAAATTTAAATTTACACAACCTGACGATGCTTCCATATTAATATGACAAATAATGGTTCTGCTATTATTGAAAAACGTTTCTAAAAATATGTTTTCCTATAAACCGGGGTACTCTCATGTTAAACTTTGATCACCCACTGTCGACCCAGCCTACCCCTGGAGGTTAATGATTTGAACAAACTTGAATCTACACTTTGAAAGATTTACTTACAGACGGACAGACGTAAAGAGATCACAGGCAAAATGTGACCAGAGAACCTCACTTTAGCTTTCAGTTCACCTGAGCTAAAAATATTGTATAGTACAAAAAGACGCGAACTGTACCTTTGTCTTGAATCCATGTTTTCTCAAGTTCAGTTTCTATTGCCAGAAGATGTGCTCCCATAGAAATGCAGCTTTCCTAAAATGAAAGAGAAAAATAAGTATTCTAGTTTCGTTTTACCAGACATTCAATTAGGTGTCTCAGTAAATCTCCGATACCAGGGCATAGAGTTTGCCAAAGCTTGTTTTAATTGACCAAGTAGTTGTCTATATTTAAAAAAAAATGGATTTTGAGTTTTTAGTATCCATATTAGATTTATATCCCCTCGGACGACTTGTACCATTTAGTAAAGGGGACGGAATCATTAATGTTTTTTTCTTATAAATTCATTCAACGAAGTGTGACAAATATTGTTCTAAAATTAATATATTCTGTCAATCCGGGAAAAATTGAGACAATTTTAATGTAAAATTAACACATATTAAGTAATATTTAAAAATTTACATCATATAATACCTCCTTTTTTGATGTTCTTTTCTGAATATTTAAGACAGATTTGACCTATCTGCTTAAATTCAGAAGAAGTTTAAGACTTTGAAATAATTTTCTTGCTTATTAAATTTTCAGTGCCAGAAAAATCACATTTTATTAGTGCAGAAAGGTCAAATAATTTATCATGCGAAGCAATTTGAAACTTTTTCTAACTCACATTTTTAAAGTGTCTTTTTTTAAAATAGACGTAGAGTTTATTTTGTTCCATGCTTTATTTGGATAAAAATATATGAGGGAAAACGTCGAAGAAGTAATTTTTAATGAAGACACAAAAAGGTCATACTAAATGTACTGTAGCGCCTAAAGAAGAATATTACCCCCATTTTTATTTGATTTTAATTAAGCTATGCATGTAAAAACTAAAAATATGATTGGCAAAAAAGTTAGACTTTTAATATCAGGATCCAACGTCTTTAAGTGTCGTTACCGTAATTATAAACGTATTTTACTGTTATGTCTTGCATTCCGTTTTAAGGTTACGTTGTTGAAGCCCTACTTCTAATGGTATCAAAAACAAAATCTGGGTGCGCTTTTGATACCTCTCCAACACATTCTGAATTTCTTCTTCTTTCATTTAAAAGACAAGTAAAATTGATGCAAAGCATCAAATCGGCCGTAACAAAATATAGCATTTCAAAAATTTCTTTCACAATTTTAAAAGCATCAATGTGAGAAAAGCACACACACTTTATTTCAGGCTGTCTTCAAAGAAAAAGAAAAATTAGAAGAATAGACATGTTAGTGCATTTGCTCATCAAATAGATCATCGTTGTAAAAAAAAAGTCAATGATAAATGATAAGAATTTATTGTCATCAAAATGAAGACAAAAGCCTCTCAAGATAAACCACGTGCTGATACCCTGGATCTTTGTCACGTGATAATGCCCACAGTTTCTGCAGAGTAGGTTGTGCTTCAAGGCGCGGTGCAACATGTAGAAAAATATTTTTGTGTCATTTGCAGCATATTCAAAACTATATATAATATAATTGATACTAATATTAAAGCAAGTTTTTAAAATATTTTACTCATGGATTTAGATTTGTTATCAATTTAGAGTTTTTAATGAGCTAATGACAAAAAGTCTCCTTTACCTATGGGCACTTTCAAACACAACCAAAAATAGATCGGCTGCTGCTGCGGCTGATAATAAAAGATAACACATGATATGCATGGTTTGTCCACTATCTTTTAGTTAAAGTACTTACCTTTGAAGAACTCCATTGAAGTCCTTTTTTAACAAAGCAATAACTACTATCTTCGTTCCTTATCCACGATGCAGGACAGTCTGCAATATGAATATCACAACCATTTGATGACTAAAAACTACATAATAATAATAATACTAGTGTTTTGATTAGACCACCTTCAGTTTGAACTTTCGCAAAGGAAAAACGCAAAGAAGATATTGCAGTATCTTTGCAATTTCCTCTCAGTCTTAGCTGTACATTGATTCTAAAATTTCGTGAATTTGCAGTTTCCTATGAACTTGAAAGTGTTGGCCAGTCATAACACTTACATAAAGGCCGTGTCACACTGTCACGATTTTTGCTACGATTCCAGACGACTTACAAAAAACCATAAATCGCCGACAATCGCCACGCTAGCCTAGCATTTTTTGACAGAGGATGATTTTTTTTCAGTGTGACACTCACATTGTCCGCTCAACAATGTACGAGGCTTATACGATAACAGAACGAGTTTTGGCGAGTTATGTACGAACAAGGACGATCACATAGCGAACGCAATACGATCTTTACACGAATTTGTACGATAAGACACGATTTTAAACGAAGCTCTTACGAATATCTACGAGTCTGTACGATGCACACACGATATTCCCACGAACAGTGACGAGTTCTTACGACTATACTTGATTTGAGTATATATATAGAGGGAAAGGGTTGCTTAATTTCGAAGTTGTATAATTATGGCAGTAGCTACCGTGCGGAGGCTTCAACTGCTGCAATATTTGGGGGAACTTGATCAGAATATTGCAGAAAATGACGAGGCAATTGCCATTTATTACATAACGGGCGTCCACAGAGGCAAAGAAGAAGATACTGGATAAGACCATGGATCACCAGACGGACTCAGTATGGATATTTCGATCGCTTGATGAAAGAACTTGAAACGGAGGATGTATTGTCATTCAAAAACTTTCTCACAGTAGAGCCAGACTTTCTCAGAGTAGAGCCAGGTATGTTTAGAGAGCTTGTAGACAGATTGAGTCCTAGATTACAAAAACAAGACACATGATTTAGAAAGGCTTTGAAACCTGGATTAAAGTTGGCCATTACACTTCGGTATTTAGCAACAGGAGAGGCTTACACAAGTCTGATGTACGGATTTCGAGTTCCACATAATACGATTTCCTTGCTGGTTCGTGAAGTTTTGAAAGTATAGTAGCGGAATATGCTGATGGAGTAATTAAATGTCCAACAACTACAGATGAGTGGCAACAAATAGCTGAGCAGTTCAGAAATAGAAGGAACCTGGACCGTGTCCTTGGTGCTTTGGATGGGAAACATATTGCTATAAAATGCCCTCGAAACGGAGGATCACTTTATTACAACAACAAAGGGTTCCACCTCCTCATTCTTATGGGGTTTGTTGATGCTGATTATAAGTTCATCTGGGTTGACGTAGGTGCAAATGGTTCTGCATCAGATGCTACAGTGTTTAACAACTCAGAATTAAAAGATGTCGTCGAAAATCATAATATTGGATTTCCAGAAGATGCCCCTCTACCAAATGATAACAGAATTTCATCGTGGGTGATGACGCCTTCCTTATCAGGACATGGCTTATGAAACCTTTCGCAAGAAAGACATTGACCAATGAGGAGCGTAACTCAGCAGAGCAAGGCGCGTTGTAGAAAATGCATTTGGAATACTTGCCAACAGATGGCAATGCCTCTTAGCTCCAATGCGTCAAGAACCAGAAACTTTTTCATCTATTGTATTAGCATGTTGCTGTCTTCATAATTTCATGCGAATGAGATTTCCAAATCTCCAAAACGAAAATCTTGACCAGGAGGACTTAAATCATCACTTGGTTCCGCGAGCTTGGAGAGACTGTGCAAACCTTACAGACTTGAATAACGTTGGTGGATGTAATCGAGCAACTATAGCAGCGAAGACCCAGAGGCTGTACCTGAAGCACTACTACAATTCACCTGCTAGGGCGGTTCCCTGGCAGAATGACATGATATAATGATTATGATTTTTAAGATTTGTATGTGTGTTCTGATGATTCTGCTGACGGCCGTTTTATTTAAATGTACCATATTGTAAATGAATAAATGAATCAGGATATTGTTTTAAATTTATTGTGTATCAATAAACGTGAAGCATTGAACAATGTTAATACTCATTCTCTGAACAAATTAGAAATAAAACACAAACTTAAAATGCAAACACTCGTAATTACATATGTGTAAAGCCTGACAATCAACAACTGAATTACATGTACATTTACATGTAGATCAGTAACTTTAATGATAATCATTACAGTACAATGTACTTTGTAAAGAAAATAAAAATAACATAAAACACCAATCATAACTTAAAATAATCCATACCGTGAATAAGGAGCAATCAGCAATCAGTCAACGCGTACAATCGTACTTTTTCGCAGTTCACTCGCACGGTACTTGTATTGCACTCGCCGTCAATCGCATGTGTTCGTATCATATTCGCATGAAATCGTAGGACATTCCTTTTGAGTCGAGAAACACTCGAAGAAACTCGTGGGACACTCGCGATAAATCGTAGGAAACTCGCAGAGTCGGAAGTTCTACGAATTTCTACGAGTGTCCCACGAACGTTGAAGATTTACAACGATTATGTGTACGAGTGTATTGCGATTTCTGTACAATCGCTTACGGATAATTAAAAATCGTACCGTGGCCACGATTGTTTTGAACATGCTCAAAACAATCGCCGCGTTTGGCGATTTGCTACGATGAAACACGAGTTAAGAAGATATCCTACGACTATCTCTACGATGAACGCCGAATTACTGCGATTTTTTAACTCGTACTCTATCGTAGCCAAAAATCGTGACAGTGTGACACGGGCTTAAAGATATTGAAATCAAAACAAGTGTTTTTAGAATATACATGGAACAATTTTCCCAGACTAATTTGAGTTTTCCCAAAGTGTTGATACATATCAATATTTTACACACAAAGGGTTTTATTGCACTAAATATTACATATTATTTCATCAATGATTTCATTTCAAAATTAAAGTAACTAAATATATTAATAGTAAGGTTAAACAAAGATTTGCCAAAGTAAGACTGTTTTTTTGTTTTTTTTTAAATTCAAAATTCTTTTTTTTTTGTATTGTTGTCCTTTTCTCTCTACTATAGTTCAATGATATCAAACATCGAAAAGTATTTTAAAAAAAAGCACTAAAACTTAAAGACTTGAGAAATCTTCAACATAGCTTTATGATCAATGAAATGACTGCATTATTTCAATCGTCAGCTTCCCTTACTTATTTAGAAATATACCGTGTTCACCTGAATATGGGGTCAACATCTCTCAGTTGATTCGATATGCAATGGCATGCTCTACGTATGAAGTATGTTAAAGTTCCCCTTCGTCTTTGAATTATCTTGAGAGATTAACAATATGTTGTACAAGAATTTTAAAAGTAGAACATTAAAAAATTTGTAGTTCACAACTTTTATTTTTAGATCTGAAGTATGGTATGATTGTGCATACATGTAATGGATCCAGCATAAAAGCTTGTTGTATAAAAAAAATAGATGTGTTAAAGTTCCAGCATAAAGATTTACAATGCTTTTAAAAGAACTATCAAGAGAATTTTGTAGATAACAGCTTTTATTCATTTTTAGATCTGAAGTATGATATGAGTGTGCAGGATTTACAACATAAATATCTTACCTTTTTCTGTGAAACCTACCGGTATGAGAAATTATAATGGATTTAGCATTTTTATGATTTATGGTCGCATTTGTTGGCGTGTCTACTCTAATGTCGCGAAATAAAGACTTGATTCTCACTTTGCGGGTTCGAATCCCACTGTAGGACGTGGAGACTGGTCCATCGGGTGAGACTGTATAAACCGAGGTCCCATGACGCAGTAGGTGCTGGTACAAAAAAAAAGATCCACCATTACTCAAGTGTCGATGCATATGACAAAGTCTGCAGCTCTCTAACTGTAACTGGTGGCGTGTCCAAATGAGTGAAAAATCCTCGAGAGGGACGTTAAACAACATACATACAATCAATCAATTTTTTAAATAAAAATTATTCCACTAAATGACCGACTTTTGCAAACCTGTAGTAAAAAATATGTTTAAAAAATTTCAGAAATTCTTACCGTTGTTTTTACTAAAGTACAACCAGTTTCTGTTGGAGGGAAAGTTAATAGGGTTTTTCGTCACCGAATTGTCCAAAAGAAGACATGTTTGCAGTGAGTAGCTATACAAAAAGGCAACACAAGAGACCATTCCACTACAGTGGACACTGCATGATAGTTCATTCCCCGATGTATTGAACACTATTTCATAAGTTATGTTATTCCCATCAAAGTTTTGTTGGATGTATTTTTGTTCAATCAGTAAAGAATCAAATATTTCAACGATAATTAGCGAATATAATACACATGTTATTCGTAGGAAAATCATTTTTACCAGGGTTTTGATATGCCTGTGAGAATGAGTTTGTTTTTGAGTCTAGGCATGGCATGGCTGTGCAATATATATCTAAAATATCTCTGTATGCTTGAATGAATATTGATGTACGTAATAACCACAAATAATTACAAATGTCAATAATGTATTCAATAAAAGCTTTTTTTAAAGAAAAAAATGTTTACGTGCAATTTATCCATGTAGCCAATTGAATAGTGCTTACTGTTCAAAAGTTATGACCAAGGTTTATGTTTTTTTTATAAGTACAGAAATCGTCAAGGTCAAACGTTGTTTGTAGCTAATGAAAGGTCTTTCCACAAAGAATACATATATGAGGTATGAAAGTCCTGTTATGTACTGATTTAAATAAATGGTTAAACTAAAATTTCGATATTTTATGGAAAATTTGGTCAAACTCCAAGGTCAAGGTCAAAAGGTCAAATTTGGTGGTACCCAAAGAAAGGTCTTTCACACGGAATACACATATGAAGTTCATAGCTCCACTAAATCAAACGTTCTGGGCAGGGTTAAGGTTTTTGCAGACTACAGCTTATCAGAAAGACAGCTAGAGGGACGGACGGACACGACAAAAATCATATACCCCCGAAACTTCGTTTACGGGGGCATTAAAAGCAATCTTTGACCATAACTTTTAAAAGGTTAGGGATAGTGCTTTCATACTTTACATAATTATTTAATCCTTGTGACAAGATGTTAAGCTTTCATTTGATATCAGAAACTTTTATCCTTTAGCCTTGACCTTGGAGTTTGACCTACTTTTTAAAAAAAATTCTTTTGAAGGGTTAGAGCTAGGGCTTCCATAATTCACATATGTATTCTTTGTGGCAAGACTTTTCATTGGATACCAATTACCTTGACCTTTTGACCTTGAGGACTTCCGTACTTATGAAAAAACATTAACCTTGGCAATATCTTTTGAATGCTAAGGACTAGTGATTTCATACTTTACATATGTAATCCTTGTGAGCAGACCCATTGGACTCATTGGATACCAAGAAAGTTTGCTCTTTGGAATGTGAATATACGTCGAAATAAGCGGAGTAGTTTACCGAGGTCGACTTATCAGAGTTTTTGCAAATCATTTATAAGGTAATTGTATATTGTATATAATGCAGTGACCACGGAAGGAAGTCAACATATCCCAGGTTGTCGACATATCCGATGTCGAGATACCGAAGTTTACCTGTTTATACATGTTTAATAGTTTATCTTAGGTCTTTTCGGAAGAAAAAAACGATTCTGTAAAATCATATATTTATATAGGGACAAATTTTCTAGAAAAAATCGTTTGCAGGGATTCGATTACTTATGAAAAGACGCACTTGGTTGTAATGTTTTATAAAAATTTATTGAAGAACTGAAATAGGGCTATATCATACCAGGAAG